AGATATGTTATACGCATATTCCATGTATAGTCAAATAGATAAGTCATTCCCATATCTCTCTAAATAGAAAGATATATGTGTCATGCCCAAATCTCCCTAAATATACAGGTACGTTCTACAAATATCCGTATACATATAATCCCACCTGCCCGGTAGTTTAAAAAAGTTGATACAGAAGATGAAAAGGCACGTGTCCGGGTGTCACTGTGTCATGTGATACTGACAACAGATATGGGTACTTTACAAACTGAAAGCAGTTTGTGTCGCCCAGGTACTAATTGTCGAGACGCTTGGCCAGGTACGATTACAATCAAGACATTCAACCTTTCAACAAGATATATTTACGACGGGAACCCCCAGTTAACGTGTTGGGTACTGAAAGTTATTTTTGTAAGAAACATACGCTGGTAGCTTGTCAAGAAAAATGCATATGAACGAAAAAATATTTTTTGGGAAGTTATGTTATGAAAACTACAACAGAAGAAAGATATTACAGCAAAATGTACAAAGAGAAAATCTGTATTATAAAATATTTTGCTTAATCCAAACCGAATGGTACAGTACGCTTTCTCTCATTTTAAAGTTTTTCGGTTGCCGCGAAATGTCTTTTTTATGTCTATTGTTTCCTGTTTGAATGAACTCTGAGTTAAGGCCTGGTGTATTGAAGATGTGCTACTTTTACATCGACTGGACTGGATTCTTGTGTATGCTTCGAGTCTACATTGTGTTCTTTTATATTGACTTGTGTCTTCGTATATATATTAACGACGTAGTATGTTTTGTATCGCCTTTGAGGTCAGATTCTGTCTTAGTGTATATTCGCGAAGAAGTACAGTTTGTATCGAATTTGAGTTCACATTGTGTTCGTGTGTATGGAACATGTTGCGTTGTTAGTACCGACTTTTAGTTGGCACTCCCCTTGTATATTAACGAATGTATACAGTTTTACCAACTCTGAGTTCAAATAGTGATCTTAGGTATTGAGGATGTGGTCTACATTGCTTCGCCTTGATGTCAGATTTTGTCGTTGTATACTGGGAAAATGCTACATTTTGTATCATCTATGAGGTCAAATTTTGTCTTTGTGCATTGACCATGTGACATTTTTCTTCCTATTTTACTTTACAATGACAATGCTTGTTGCCTTTTATTTGTATATCATCTACTCCTTCTTGCACGAACTTTACAAGAATGCAGCGTATTTAGCATTGCTTCTAGGGCCGTGTGACAAATGTACGCCAATCAAATGACCACACTTAATAAAATATTTTCTTTAATGAAAGGGCACTTCCGCTGCTTAAAATGTTTAAAATGCACTAAAATGTATTGTCCGGAACCCTCGTTATCCTGGGTTTGACCACTGCAAATATATCCGCTCGAAACTCCAGCATTGACACATCAGATTTAACGATGAAAATCAAAGGCACTCTCATACTTAAAACAGTTAATAACATAGAACATTGTAATAAATGTCAGAAAAGGTTCGGCTTTACATTTTGACGAAGCTCGTTTACGATTTGAGTGATTCAACGGAAAATTTCAAAACCATCGCAGGTATTTTAAGACCTTATTATTTTATGATATTATATCATTTCAAGTACCAACAGGTAATGTAATAGTTTGATGGATCTACGGGAAACACATTGATAATTGTGTGTTTATCAATATTAAAGACATTGTATCAAACTCTGAAATTTCAGAAAACATGATGATCCGGGTATTTATCTTCTTTATAGAAAGATCAATGATTTGATAAAATTATGGGAACCGTGTTGTTTATCACTGAGCTTTTACGGGGGATAGAGGGAACTTGAGGATGTTTTAAGTTCCAAATTATATTTATTCTTCTTTCCTAACTAAGGACGGTGAACAAACCTGGAAAGTTACAAAAATCACGTCCATGTTGCTCCGTACCAAAATCTAACTGTCTTACGTTTTATATCATTATTACTATAAACAACATGATCATTTGATAAATTATGGCAACTGTTTTTATCATTATTTTACACAGTATAATGATTTGGGAGAAAACTGCAACACTATGATGCATGTGCATTTCGTTATTTTAAGCGAGGAAAGACATAATGATGTCTGTTTGTAATACAATTATTTAGGCAATTAAATGATTTTGATAAAGTTAAGGGAAATACTTTGATAACTGTGTTTATAATTGTAACATTGTGACATGTACCTTTTTACATGAACATCTTCTAAGATAATAATATCCGTACATGTTTAGCTGAACCATAGCATTGAGCCTTAGGACATAACTTATTTAGTACATATGTAAGTAATTCTATTTTCATCGGCAGGACACACAACGTCTGTTTGAGATGTCGCTACCATGACATTACATATTAAATCAAAATAATTGCTCTCATTATTTCAAAACAAAGTGCCGAATAATGATATTTAACATCCTCAAAAAGAACATTGATATATGCAGAATTATATTAATATCACATATTCAAACTTTAACACATTACTTATAAAAACTTAACTAAATATTATTTTAATCGTTATTATTTTGAACTCAAAGTGAAGTGATTGTCGGAATGACTGAATGAGACCTTTTTCATGAGGAAACCAGGGCCTAAACCCTGGCAGTATCGAAAAAGGGTATATGTTAATAATAATAAATACTTCCGCACTTCAATTGTAAAAGCATATGTACTTTGATAATAAAGGTAGGTTATCTGATTATCCAAGTGACCAAAATCTGTCTTTTTATGGTATAACATGTCTGTGAACATATAAACAGTTTTAAAATAAGCAATTGTAACATAAAACCATTCGTTTTCTATTCCAGCAAAACTTTTCGTTTAAAGAGATGCAATTTTATTATCATGTCACACTATTCCTACACAATTTGATTAATATGACCAATGAAAAATGTGCTTATTCGTTTCACAAGGATTTATGTAGCTGTTTACAAAAAATAATTAGATATCGACTGTCAATTAATATAAATACTATATAACATATTTTAAATAAATTTATTATTAGCTAGAATAATTCTGAATTGAGATAAACAAACATTCATAGCTGTGTTTTTACAAACAGCACATTTGCACATTTCAACTGTCAATTGCATGGTAAATTTTGCGGGAAAAGATAAAACTGACCACACTGGACGTTTGTGTCAGGCCATGTCATTATCAACTACGTAAACTTTTGTTCGGTGATATATATGTTTAGTATCGACTTGATTTTCAGGTAATCAAAATAAACTTACTTCACTAAATTGTCCCTTTAAGAAAAACGTATTATTCCACAAATCACGTTTTTGATTTAGTTTGGATTCGTTTTTGGATGCACTTTTGACTCCTTGATAAAGAAATTGCCTAACCGTCATGGCTTCGTTTGGAAGCAATCTAGAGCAATACTTATCTAAATGTCTGTTAATATTGCGTGATCAAGAGCGTTATATATAGTATAATTCTTCTTGATCAACCGATATGGCTGTCACTATACGGTCCGCGACATTTCAATTTAAGTTCGTATTCTGTATTCTGATAAGCACCCATTATACCATCCAGTATTATTTCAAAAGCGGAAGTGGCCGTGTTTTGAGACAAACAATTTACGATTTAAACATATTGTTTGTTGTTTTGGCAGCAAAACAGTGTTATTTGTTTCTCCATCAATTTATAACCGATATCCACACCCATCCTTAACACAGTGTGAAAGTTCAATCAGAGGCTTTCTCGGTGAACATGGTAAACAATTTTCTATTGTGCTCTCAGGGACATAAACGTGTTATCAATTCTTCTTAGTGTGAAGGTGTGGTTTCGATAACCTATCAAACTAAATTCGTCAGCGATTTTTCTTGACACTCAATTTCGACCACTGATAATAAACAATCCCTTTTCGTATATATATATATATTAAATGTTTTTATCAATGTGTCTATAATATCACAATATTGTGAGAATGCTATGGTACTGTTAAATTAGGAAGGAAGTAATCATTAAAATGATTAATGCTATGTAACATTGGGCCATTAGAGTATCACACAAATTCAAGAAAGAACCACTCAATGCTTTTTTCTAAAACAATTCATATCGCAAAACAGAGAAAAGTGCCCATGTCTACATTTATGGAATTACTTAAGATTTTTTGCTCTATACGATACCCGGAAAAACATAGTAAAACATGAATTACATTCGGTCTACAAAGATCCATCTTAGACACACACATTGGACTGTACTTTTAATATAATGGTGACAGATACAGCATGGTAAAATTGAGTACACTGCAAACCCTAACGATCAGGATTCATCGGTGATGATAGGGGCCAAACTGTTGGAAATCCAAATTTCTCTAAACCACTGCTGTAACGGAATGGGGAGCGAGTAAAACCCCTTAATTAAACGAAAATTTAAAAAAAAAATGGAGGAATGCTTGTTATTTTTAAATAAATAATAACGATCAAAGTGTATATTTTAAATAACCATGTCACTTCTCCAATCAAATAGCTGTTGGGCATCAAAATTACGGCAAACCTCGGGGATTAAGAAATCCACCAGCTGAGTCTACCACCTTGTGTCTCGAAAAATAAACCTAAGACACACGATTGGTTCTACACAATAACATTAGCGACAGATTTCCATAGGTTCCAAATTCAACAGCCATTTTTCCAATAGAAATACGGATGTCACAGTTCATTACCATAATACATGTACCTAATGTACGTGCACATACCTAATATTGAGCTAAATTGACAGAGAAACATAGTCCGTCTAATCAGAATCCAAAGCCATCTTGTACTTCATAGACCTGAAAGCTAAATCTGTTCATAAATTATCTCTTTCGAATAATGTTGCAATTCGAATTTGTATAATTTCTTTTATAATAACATGGTTATTTTATGGCACAGATAGCGAAATTTCCCTCTACCTATTTCTTATACATTTTTCAATTCAAAATTGAATTAATTCAATTCATGTAGCTGCCGAAAGAAAAAGAGCAAAAAAATAACAAAAAATAGGAAACAGTGTTCAAGCAATGTATTCAAATCTTTTGTTTGGAAGACATACATTCTTAGAGATTTAGTTCATGCAAACAATCAAATAAGTATTTAATTCTTATCGTGGAACTAAATTATAGCATTTGAACTAAACTATCAAAACAACCAGTCGGTCGAGCGCGGAGTGATTAAAGGGAGATAACTAGTGCAACACGGAATGACGCCAACATGAAAAAACAAAAGAGTTGATGAGAGACTAAATGCATATTTTCCATACATGCAATTAAAGAAAACAATCATTTCATATAGATTATTGAATCTTTTTAATCACATTTACGATTTATTTTTCTAATTATTGTTACATTCTTTACATCTTACGATACAGCCATATGTACAGTTTGAATATTTTATGAAATATCTCATATTTTTTTTGAATTTGAATACGAAATTTTGAGGCTTAGTTTACACATAACTCATATATAATATTAAGGAGCCTCTTCATTCAACCGCAGCCATCTTTCTTCAATGGTCGTTGAAGCATATGCTCCGTTCTCCTCATCACTCTCCCCTGTCATGGTACTGCTCTGGGAGTCTCTTAATAATTTATAAACACCCTCCGGCATTTCTCCCGATGTTTTTTTCTCTCTCGAAAGATTATCTGGAACAAGTTCAAACATTTCAAGCGTGTTATCAGTACGCGTCCTATTAGGGTTGGTTTGTATGAACGTAACTACGGCGGTACCATTAGACACCGTGTAAGGAACATATCTGTTTGATTTATCTGGTGAATCCGCGACTACTGAAGAAAGATACCCATGTAAGGGACACGGATCGTTAGAATGCACTGTGGAAGACGTTCTTCCATTTAAACTATAGCGCTGTATATCAATTTCACCGCTATCTCCGTAATTATTGTATCCATTATGAAGGCTTATTCGTGTGTTTTCGGCGATGTTTCTCGTTTCGCAGGCGTTGTTATAATAGCGTATGTTTGAAGAACGGCTTTCAATGGATTCTCTCCCTTCCCTTGCGTTGTCCAAGGTTCTCAAATTCTTAGTTGCCAATGCTGATGTGAAAAACGATACAAACAATTATATACGGTAAACATTCATTTCTTTCACATTTTTGATTTTATTCATTTTAACAATGAGCTGTAAAATTAGGAGACAACCCTACATTGCACTACCAAAGTATTAATACATAGTTATTATATTCACCATTCTATGGCACTGCCGTCATATAACCCTGGTTCATTTGTTGACGTAATCATTATAATGACGTCATAATTGTAACTTTGGATACAAAAATCATTCTGTTAATTCATTAAACAAACATACAGATTCCAAATACCTACATGTATATGAACAATGTGCTGGTTTTTGATAAAACAAAATTTAAAAAGCAAATGTAAGTATTAAACAGTTTTCAGTTAGCATTCTTAGCCAATGTTATAGTCAACCGCTATTGCATGTCATGGAATTTGTCACGTTTTAGTTGTCCGAAAGCTGTTCAGTTCTTCAATAATGTCTGAAAGAGATTTTTACCGCTAATATACAGAAGAATTATCCCCATTCGAATTAATTTAATCCAAAACAAGCGGAACAAACAATTATTATGGAATATGTTTTTGAAATCTGAATCATTCTGCTGTCAGTTACATTAAAAAATAAAGACGGAATAGTATTGATCTTGAACTCAAATAGGATTTTGTATTTTGATAAAGTATAATACAACCTTTGCGCCGGATGAACCAAACTAAAATGGTAATAGCCACCACTGCTGCTATTGAAGCTACGATAGCAGCAGAGGTTAGTGCTGGGTCAGATTTCTGTCCACTTCCTGCGGGTAAGTTGAGAGTAGGGGTGGGTATCGGCGATACTACTAAACAGAGAATTAAAGTAATTAAAATCTGTTCATATTTGACATGATATCTGAGCATTGATAACATGAAACTGTTTGTAATATTTCACTGAATTAAATAATGACGTATTTTAATAATTGGAGATATGACTTCCGTTCAGTTAACTGCGCCTCAAACAACTCGATCTTGATTGAGGGCTTTAAGTAAACGGGCAATGGTATTTATTTTTAGGTTCAGCAAGCCCCCTGTCAGAGGTTATAATACTCTGAATTTCATGATAAGCCATATTCAAAACCCTCAATCAAAAATCGGAACTTATATACCTATATGTAATTTGAATATATTGAACTTGAACATTAGCTATTAAAATGTTCCATAGCGAGGTTAACCAAGTAAATAATAAGGCATTAAGGCGGTGTTCTCGTAATAATAGTTCATCGGACTTATAACATGTCCGTCTCCTTAGCGACCCAACTGTATGTTATAAAATTACATATCACCTGAAGTTCATTTACACTTATACTAATAGTAGGATCACTTTTCGTCTATGCCAACCGTTTTTAGGGGCTGAAAAACGATCATCATATACATAGGAATTGCATTCGCGCTGGATGGGATGCTTTTTATTGTTTTTGTTTTTCATAAATGTCATAACACAATATTTATCAATCTAATCATAACTTCAGAAGCCACGTCATAAATACACAGTTTTATCTTTCATCGGCGACAATTTCAGAATGAAACAAGACGTCGTGGTTCTAATACAGTGAAATGTGGGGTGTAATCAGGTTCATATCTAATATCGATGTCTGAAAATATCTTTCATGTGAGCCCAATAGGTTTGTGTTTCAAGCGTAACTAAAGAGAACTTGTACCATCTTAAAAATGCCACATACAATATATAAACACCAGCTCGAGTATTTCATATAGGTTTATACTCAAGTTTTCAGTTTCACAAGTAGAGGTTGTAAAAGCAAAGAGTTATCCTATAGATCGTTGCTTTTGACTGGATAATTGTAATCTAGATAGCAAAAGACACAATTTTGCTTAAGTTACGAATATATTTACAAAAGCATACTGTTTACAAACAGGTTTGTTTCTGAAAACCTGTGTTTACATAGGGGCAGACTCGTGCAGATCGCGTGCACTCTGACGTTGAAGGAAGGTTAGTGGTATGTAACGTTACGATTAACTCTTTAATTATAATCTACATATCATAAGACACATCTTTTCTATTGGTAAGATTATATATTTCCAAAACTTAACTGTTTACAGTCGTAAGTGCATGGTCATCTTTCTGCCCATTTTCTGTTGGTGAGTAGGGAGAAGGGGACGGCTTGGGCAATACTACAAAACAGAAAGTTACAGTAAATAGTCCATAGCACATCATTTGTACATTAGAAGGAAACCTAAGTATACTTGATTACAATACTTGTATATTTCCTATTTCTTTAACTGAAATTTTTAATTGTAATTGTTTTCTCTCTTTATTGAAATTCGCAGTAAAATCTGTCCTAATATAGCATGATGTCTAAATGCCAGTAACTACAATTTCATTAAATTACTGTACCTAATGACACACTTTGAAAATTGGAGTTAACGCCTCTTAAGCTAGCATTAATTAAAGGGATGTTACTCATTCTTAATTAACATAATTGAAATACAAATACATTCGCACTTCTCAAATCAAACACACACAAAAACACTTTAACAGCTATTATTTTTTAATATCATTTTATATAAGCTATCGTGTCACACAGTTACTGGCAGACATTGACCAAATCATATTTTTAATGACATATTTGGAGATCAATAACTACGACGATCAATTAATAATTTGTTCGTTTCATTGGTGTGTAAGTTGAAGGATACTTGTACCACACACTGCATTGTGATTGTTCATATAAACAGTAACCCCGTTTAATTTCGCTTTAGATATAACTGTAGAACAGTTGGGCCAAGACACCCATTGACCAGGTAGCTTAGTCGGTTTGGGTGATAGTATAACAATCTGAAGTTCAGGGTTCGAATCCCGGTCAAGCCCCGCTGATGTTTTACACTCATAACATTGATGACGAATACTTTTTGTTTCTTTCATTTTTACTATTTTTTTTATAAAGTCCGGCGCAAGATATGGTTTGCTTTTTTGACTTAGTTACAGTTTTTTTGTAACGGCACAGAGATCCTTAACCCTGTTTCTGTAGACAACTAATCTGTTAGTGTCACTATCTAGCCGATGTTATAAGGTACTGACTTGCAGTTTATTCTTTCTCAAAAGAGTTGTCCTATTATCCAAGCACTATAACAGCTAAACCAATTTTGCCGAGAACATCTGTGGCTAAAGTACCTACGCTCCGTTGCATATCAACTATATATTGCCTTTAATATAATCACGTTTCGTCCACGCTTAATGTTTCGAGGCTGAATGTTGCGTTTTCCTGTTAATACGTTTCTAAGGCGTTCGCGCTGGATGCGGTTACTTATAAAGATTTCTTGAAAAGGTCATTACACAATAAGCTAGCAGGTGAAACAGTATCAATGTTTTTACTTCGAATGCTACGTCATCGCATGATTATAAGGTTTTACCTGTCACCGGCGACACACTCGCACTGGATGGGATGGTTTTTATTGTTTTGTTTTTCATAAATATCATTACACAATATTTATCAATCTTATCATAACTTTAACTTCAGAAACCACGTCATAAATACACAGTTTTATCTTTCATAGGCGACAATTTCAGAATGAAACAAGACGTTGTGGTTCTAATACAGTGAAATACGGAGTGTAATCAGGTTCATATCTAATATCGATGTCTGAAAATATCTTTCATGTGAGCCCAACAGATTTGTGTCTCTGACGTTACTAAAGAGAACTTATTTTAGTCTTTGAAATGCTATATGGTAAATATAAACATCAGCTCATATAACGCAAATACATCATTAAGTTTATATAAACCTTTCCAAACTGGATGTAAGGAAGGGAAGGGATATGATATCAAAGTTTTACTTTCTACACAAACCTGGTTCCAGCACTCAGTCATTGCTTGACAAAGGGACCAGTCGGTCTTGAAACGTTGCGACACATTTACCACGTACATTGTTTGTGTGGAAAGTAAAACTTTGATATCACATATTTCCAAACTGGTGAATCTTATTAAAGATAAGGGAAGGGTTATCTTTTGAAACTCTGAAGATAAAAACAAGTATCATTACCTTTACTCTACAATTGTAATTAAGATATCAAAAGACCATTTTTTCTATTGTTTAAACGATATTTGCAAACACTTACTGTTTACGGTCAGACTGTTGTCTGAATACTTGTTTCTACATAAGGGCAGACTCGTACAGATCGCGTGCACTCTGACGTTGACGGACGGTTCGTTGTATGTACAACTCAACTGGAAGGACTGAAATAACGGGGGTGAAAAATATAGAGGCACCGATCAATTGCACTGCCGTGCATCAAACACATGTAACCAAAATAACTCTATAGTTGAGGTTAAACCATAAACATAAAGTATGAATTAGCTATGGAAGCTAAATTTAGATTTTGTAACGTTATAAAGGGCATTATTAAAACTTATTTTCTTTTTCTTCATATTTTTCAACACAGTGTAAAGTGCAGATACTTAAATATACGAACAAACATTGATACGCGATGTTAGTGACACGGTCGCCGATATTTTCTAATTAAATGTCATCGGTAATGCTGGAGGTCGAAATGTAATTGTTTTCAAGAAAGTCAAATGCGTATTTTTTATATGTAGAACTCGCTTTTGAGCTCTCATTATGTAATACTCTACTATTGTATAGATTAAGATATCGTAAACGAATTATGTTGAAGACAATTATAAGTTTGACTTTATTACAATATTAACCTTTATTTCTATTGTAATAAAAGAAACTTTAAAAATATGAATTCAACAGATAGAGTTAAGTCAATAGAATAATAAGATATACGTGTATGCATCAGAGATCCGTAGCATCATCTTACGTTTCTGTCTATTTATTGAATAATCACATTGAGAGCTGCTCAACCAGATACGACTGTACATATCAGCATTGCTTACCCAGCCACGGTGTGTCGAGGAATTGTTAAACCTTATTCGAAAAACTCGTGTTGGTGATTTTATCGGTCTTCCTGGGAATCCGACGCTGATCTGGAATCCAACCAAGTCGTCAACGGAAGCTGAAACATAATTCCAACAATTACGAAATAAGAATACATCAACTTGGCGACATCATAGTGCAAACTTTAGCGTAAAATGATATCACAATTACAGATACATGATAGTCTAAGACAATGTCTTGGTTATTTAGGATTGCTTATAGTTGTGGGTACTTGTTTTGCTTGAATCCGCTCATACCCGCAACAAACGTGAGTATGTGAGCACCAACACAATAACATGTTTCACCATGTTGTTATTGTTGTTGTTGTTTATGACGTATAGGTGATGTGAACATCGATCTAGCACTCCATTTGATGACTTCACCATATGAATTATATCACAATTAACACCATTGTTTAATAAATACAAGACATGATGCGGTTTTAACGGGCATATTACTGATAAATATCATTAACTATATATAAATCAAGTTTACAAGGTTTGAAGATAAACATCATCTATTTCAGCGCTTTCGCATTTCCCGGCTCTTAACTAGCAATATAACTCAACATGAAACATGGTAGTTTCAGCGCTTTCGCATATCCCGGCTCTTAACTAGCAATATAACTCAACATGAAACATAGTAGTTTCAGGAAGTCCTGATACTGCATATTCATGAGGTGCATATTAACCATGATATGTTAATTCTCTCATGCTTGTGTATTACTAATATAATGAGGAAATGAGCGATTTGAAAAATAATATTCCGTAATTTTTAAATATTTTCTATAATACTTCTTCTGTTCCATGCATATAAAATTATGACATTATAAAATTATTTATTTTAGCGCGCGCAAATTTTAGCGTATCATAGAATTTAATTGGTTAGCGTATAGGTGAACTGGTGCACCAAAATAAATGCAAGGGATAAAAAAAATCATTTTTTTTAATCAGCGTTATAAAAGTTTCACACGATTTTAAATAGCGAAAAGCGCTAAAATAATACAACCGCTAAATTGTGTACGGTTACAGTATTCCACTCAATGTTTTTTTTCAATCTTTTACTGTTCACTCAGACACACACATGTGTGTCACAATGGGTCACATATAAATAGCAACTTTTATACATGGCGGAACACAAAAACCTCACGAGATATATATTTTCACATAAAGTATCTCAAATCTATATATTTAGGATTTTTTAAAGATTTTCTACAACCCTACTTACATGAGACCGAATACGAACATTACACCAAGAAATTAGACCTTCAATTTTTGTCAGACTAGGATATGTACAGTAATAGGAGGCGTTGAAACACTCACTATCATCGGGACTTTTCCACGTGTACATGAGTTTAGCACTTTGACGATCCGTTGGGTACGACACCTGGCCTTTAAAACCAACCGGTTCGGATGGACCACAAGGTTGAACAGTTGGTGCTATATGAAAAGCCAAACAGAAAGCGTAGAAGCAAAATAACCATGTTAACGTATGTATCATACCTAATACATGATTTTGTTTACTACATTAACGAAACAGCTTTTTCCAACATGTATAAATCCCTCTTGTCCTGAACGAAATCTGCAAGAGGATCTGAAAGTGGGAGGAAACCGGAGTTCCCAGAAAGCAACCATGTGGTCGGGCAGGTGACCAATTACCTTTTCACGTCCGATAATGGAGTCGACGAAAGGCGAGTGCACAAGCTACTACACCACCCGACCAACAGTACTTTAAAGATATATTGTTGCAGTTGCATTATAGGACTTTCAGAAGACTTTTGAGGGTATGAATTTGACTCGTGAACGTTGACTCTCGTGTTTGTAAGGACATGTTTGTCTATGCAACACATGTTTTTATCCTTCAGATTGTAGGAAAAGGGTAATTCAGAAATTGATAAATGTCAAGATTAAATTGAAAGAGCTGCTACGGCGACTGTGTTGTAGATCCTGATTAAAGACATACTTACAAAGCAGTCTTATGTCGTAGTCGGTGTAGTTCTCTTGACTACAGGACACTGAGCCATTCATCTAAACGAATAGCATGTGTTAAACGTTTAATATAAATTAAAAAGATATCAAAAAATAGTAATCTTATGAAAAGTATATAAATAGATATCAATTCTCATTCATACTTACATTTTTTCTTTAGTCATGCTAAACACAATTTCAACATACCTTTTGATTGAGCTTCTAGATAAATTAATAAAGTACGTGTTTCAGATAAATTGGAACACAGATTACGGGAGCTTTTTGTTTGCTTTTGTTTTTGAAAGGTTGTAATTATACAAATGAAGTTACATCACACGGTATTCAAAAGGCTAGGAATAAAGGGCCTTAACTCGTTCAAAAAAGCATGTAATGCTATGAAAACGCTATGAAGACATAATAAACATATGGGAAAAGTCCTTTGCAAAAAGAAAGTCATAATTTGTAAAAAAAAAAAAAAAAATGAAATGAAATCATTATTGTTTTCTACTAAGTATATTGGTTCCAAACAAAAGGTACGCGTGTCGAAATGTAACAAACCAAGATGTGGTGTTTGTAATATTATTGTCGAAGGAGAAGAGTTTCCATTCAAAAATGGAAACAAATAACTAACGAAAAAGAATGAACTGTAGATCTCGGAATGTTGTTTATGCAATGGTATATGCAAAACTGTCAACATAAATACATATTTCCTTGATGAATCTCTAAAGAGGTAAAAGTACTAGGAAGGTATTAAGAAACCCTTTTTGTCATCTCTTATATAAATACATAATATATAATATACAGAGCTACTTGCGATTTCGCCCCATTTATGGGTTCTATTTATCATGTATAGAATTGACATTGATACACATTTAATGGACATGGGTGCGTATTATATGTCAAGCATACAGTAGGAAAAGATAGCGTACTGTGTGGTTTAACCACTCACCTCATCCCGGCACGTCCCCATACAAGTCAGAGCCGCAAGCACTTCAGCAACCTCCACAAGGAACACGATTCTGGCAAAGAGAGCCTCGGATTTCGTCATGTAACCTCTACAGTACATCACGCGCTAATGAAACTCTTGTTCAAATGTTGGTATTTGTTGTAAATGCAAAGGAGTGTCCGTTTGAAAACGCAGTCCATATCATTCGGCACTTTCTTCTAACGATTCTAACAGTATAAGGTTGTCATTATTTTGTATATCGATCATCCGCCTACTGATAATGACGTTCTATATATACATTGACTATACGCTTACTGATATTAAACTTGCTGGTGTTCCAATATATTAAATTCTGCATAATGTCCATCAGATGAACTCATCCTTCCACGAAAATGTTGGAAAACGTGAATATTGTGTGGCGAACGGAGGAGACACATATATTAAAGATAATCTCAGCATACTACGAACAAATCCGTGCATAGAGCGATAACGTTGTAATCTGTCTATCCTACAAAATACCTGATACTGACCCAGATGTTGACTTATTACGTCGACAGGATCCATTATCTATTGTTCAAATATTTTGACATAGTTTAAAGGGTATTACATTTATTCGCGCTGTTCGGTACGTCATCTTTACGAAGTTGAAAAAATAACAAGAAAATATCAAAGAGTAAATATAACAGTAGCGGAAAAAGATAAAATATAAATACAGGTCTCATCCCAACCACGTACCCAAAGTGAGAAACCGGGTAATGATAGCGACTCTTGGTTTGGTTTAACACGGTCTCGCGTCCAATAAACAGGTAAGTTCACTAAAGGCATGCCAACATGTGTTTAATGTATGCATGCATGTGTGCAATGTGTGTTGGGGGTAGTATGTTGGTTTATGTGTCTCCTTACGATACCGCATATCTGATGCCAACTTTAGAGTGCTATCTCACTTTGCCAAACCACAACACTGTATTCCAACCGGTCACATTATACAGACAGCAGGTTAACCAGTTGTTGTGATTTTCATCATGCAGGAATCATTGTCTGTGTCTATGTTTGTACCACTGTTTGTAACTATATTTGGAGAGGGCTTAAATAGGAATGCCTGCTGCCCAATCCATTTGCCATTTGACAATTCATTTCATTTCATTGAAATCATTTTAGGACTATGGTATATCCTGGTCTAAAGACAGAACCCATTACCTTCCACACCTGGACAAATATCAACATTGAGGCCAAAGTGAGGATCTACCGGGCAAGGCGAATGGAAACATTAAAGGTCATATGAAATAGAGAGAAATACACAGATCCATATTGTTTCAATAGGTACAGAAGACTTATCTTGTTCGCTTGTGTGTCATCAGGTATAGGGCACAAAATGAAGTTTACAGCATGCAATTTCCCAATGAGATCGGCGAATAAGACCTGTATCTCTCGAAACGTTGTATTACAGTATTTCCATCAGGTGTTGACATCTATCCCCGAGATCGTCATATCCCAAGCATTCAGATATATCATTGAAGTTTCTTAAATTGAAATTAAAAGAGGTTTTTGATACAAGATCTGTTAAGCTCTTCAATAATTTCTGTCTTGTGTAAAAAGGAAATCAAGTCAGTCAGAAGAGGGACACAGTTTGTTTCCATGGAAATACAGTCAGTCAAGTTACAACTGAAAAATTTGCATTTATTTGACTTTAGACCTTGAGGTCAAGGTCACAATGACCTGATGACAGTGCAACGCAAATTATATGTGGGTGATGAAGATATACCGGATGATTCATTAAGATATCGTTAACGGTTATAAACTTACGGACCCGAATTTGGGTGGGTTTTTTTTACCTTTAACCTTGTGATCAAGGTCAATGTGACATAATGAGTACACTGCACATTGTCTGTGAAGTTTCTTCGTGATAGGGTTTAAATTACGGCCCGGACAAGAAATTATTAGAAAGACCAGAAGAACAAAAATAACCAGAAGTAGAACCAGTACTAAAACAATATGTCTACCTTAATTCGAAGGTTAGACATAATGCAATCTAAAGAATACAAATAACTTTCTTGAGCTGCACTTTTGTAAAATCCTTCCAGTTATAACAGTCATACGTATCAAAGTTATCTAAATTCATTATACTCAGTTTAAGGTTGGTAAAAAAAAAATACAAAAAAAGTATATCAGTAGTTACAGGTTGTTTACTCTATAATCTTTTGAAGTAAAAAAGTTTACTCACGCATCTTTACATTAAATGTGCGATAAGATTATCGGCGTGGTATGTTTTGCGTTTATAGTTTTGTTATAATAATGGGAGTGTCATGTCTACAATTTTCTTTTTATATTAAAATCAAAACAATCTATATTTCCTTTTCATAATTCATGTATCTAAGTAAAATATCGTTTAATTTAAATTCACGTTTCTATTTTATATCATTTTATATTTTCTGACGATCTATTTTTATGTGAAACAATTTCTTAGTCTTTAATCGAATCATATCAGTGCAAATTTTATCACTGTGTACATTGACAACAAATACCGAGAGGTGGGTTTGTTTTAACACATGTATAGGTTATCAGAACTTGCGGTCAATGGTACACAGGAAGGCGCAGTATTTACCCCGACACTTCTTACAGGAGCCTCGTATGGTACCGATATACTCTTTCAAAAAACAACGCAAGAAGGATGTTTCATATCGGTCTGTCCATGATAAGATAAATCGCTGTTTAAATTTTACTGCTAGCCATTCATATGATTATGAAGGGAGTCACTTCTGTCAGGTCAACTATAGTGACAGCTACCATGAGGGATGTTTCGTACAATGAATAACCCCTGTAATATTACATGCATCAAACTTTAAGGAAATATCAGCAATAAATTTGCATATACATAATGAAGTGGATTATGTGGGCTACATATTTTTTCACACAGATTTGGCCATTTACTAATCACCGAGTAGTTAATAGGTTTTGAGAGAAAAATCCTATTTGCGCGGTTTAAAATCCATGTGTATCTCTGACTTTTTTATTTTTAGGATGAAGATATTTCTACTGGATACTGCTACCTTTAACACAGAGATTTCTTTTTTATTTTGTTTGAAAATTGCTTTTTAATGCTTGATTAACCTTCATTTCCATGTATTATTGCTTTAAACACAAAAACTTACAACTATTAACCTGTGCGATGTTTGAAGGGAGGTAACTCGCAATTTTCACAAGCACTCAATCTAAAAAAAAATTACAGTGGTCTTGTTTATTTTTGGCTCATAACCGAAATCTAAAGACATTCTTACGCATGTGTTTACATGAAATTGCATGTTTAACCAATATTTATCTATTTTGAGCCACGCTTAGTCTTCAGAATATCCAACAAGCATAACTTACATAGTTTATATGATTTAACCCTTTGTCTTCAAAGGAAATTGTCATTACACCACTATAAATATAACTTGAAAACCAATCGTGGCACAACTTGTACATATGTAATCAAAACACTATTAGTCGTTGAAAACATAATGCATTTCAAGAGAACGGTGAGGGTTTTTTTACATTTTTTTAATTTTATTTCATTAATTTTCTGTTTATATACACCAAGTTATAATCTACGTCATTATATTTAAAGTCAAGTTTCTCTAGCTTACATTTGACTAATACATCTTGGCTTATAATCCATCATAGATGTTTGTTTATGTATGTCTTAAACCTACTCATTTCTAGTGAAGTAATGTCCTTTTAGTGAACGTTCCTTAATACGAATAAGGGCTAAGGAGGTAGGGATATTTTTCTCTTATTATATTACGAACGAGTAATGATATCATACGCTAAAAGTTAACGTGAATGAAGGTCACAAATTATTGTTAACAAATGTTTGAAAGTTAATCATGTTTATTATTGAAACATGCTTCAATACCCATCTTTGCTAGGACGGTCATGGTTCGATTCCTCGATAAGACGTGATGAGGTGATTTATATCAAATGGAAAAGTTATTCTATAATTGTTGTAGATTAAGTAAAACGTATCTTCAACATAACACTTTGTTGAGAATTGGTCGCTGTGATTGCTAATGATTTCATGATGACGTTATATTTACATCATATACTGCTTCAAAATTAATTTTACAGCCACTTCGAACACATTTTTTCAAAATAACTATATTTGGTTCATCATTAACCTTGATTGTTTTATGTACTTTTGCATGTTCCTGTCAAACAATTAGTATGGGAGACAAAATCCATAACCCAAGTCCTTTCTTCAAAGATGATGACCAAAATAAGTGACACAGTATTTTATTTCAACATACAGTAATAATAAATATACATAAGCTCTTACACAATTGAAGACAAGATATGTTGTAGATGACATCAGTGATGAAATTATCATTATGATTTGTTTTGTATAATGAAACATCTTCCTCTTCAGAACCATGAAATATAATTTGCTTGTGGACTACAGTTATCGCCTCTTTTGTGCTACCCCTACCTTGAATCAATATCACTTTCATTGCACCAGAGGCACCAGGATTACACGCATCTTGTAGAATGTTAAGTTCCTTACATTTGTCTGGTTATTGATAACTGGATTTAGAATATTCACGTTTATATCTCAGCACTTCATTGGTTTTAGCGTTAATATAATTCTATCGTGTTGGCAGGACAAACAGCAATCAATTATCTATCAGTGTACAAAATTATGTAAAGAGAGGGTTTCAATTCGTTTAACACTGAATTTCAGATATATTTCACTCGTTTCACAGGTTTATGATATTTTCCCAAATAAATAATCTGCCAGATGAGTTAAAAAATATATTTAATATTCAACGAGAAGTCGATTGAAAATTCTGTTTATAGCATTCTGAGATTTTGAAATGCCCGGTTACCAATTTTTTGTTTATCTTGAATTTAACCTTTAAATGGCGGGTATTGTCGATGAAGCACGAGACACTTACCCTTCCAGAATTTGTACTTTTTTCAGGGGACTTCATATATAAATCTTTGAGTCGTTCAGCTTTTGCTTGTAACATCAATTATGATTTCAAATTGCGGTTTTATGTAGTCTTCTCTATTTCTTTTCGTACAAAAATATTAAATGTTATTGAGATGCAACTGTCACTTTCAGAAGACAGGTGTGTTATTTTAAATGTAGATAAAATGTCATGAGACAGTATTTATCATACCAGTTCTCTGTTTATGCAGTAAGCATAACAATGCCATTTATACCGTATACTATCGTGTTATACTATATATTGTGACGTCAGAGGTAAGAAAAAAGTCATACTATTTTGACATTGCATAGTCAACGTTGAAGATTGGACGGTGGTACGAAAAATGTTTCTGCGAATGTTGACAGACTTTCGTTCTAATGATATTAATTTCAAATCATATAATTTATCAGAGTTATCAAACTCTTCCCGGAGTTTTCATTTCGTCTCAGCGTAGCCTCGCTAAAACGAAACCTTTACATTAATTTCATAGATATAGTGTTAAATGGAAACTCATACGATTGAATTTGTATTTATATCACATTTCTACCACATCTAATTTACCCATGTATATCATTGTCCAGGAATTCCGTTATACGGCTGAAGTGTTAGTCATGCATAAGTTATGTGGCTTTATCGATACTGATGATGGTTGCTCTCTCTAGCGGTCACGTGTCTGAAAATGTACAGGACCTCAGAGGAAGCTACACCTGTTGAGTCTCAGTCCTAATAATGAAGGTCGTAGTAGTGATTGAAATACTTAGGTACGCTCATCATGTGTTTTGAACACGAGTTTATATACAATCGTAATTATCGATCCACTAGTTTGTGTTACACCTGTATGGATGTTCACGGATGCAGAACCATGATTGGTGTTTAGATGTTACCAGTGACTTGCTTTACGAATACTTACACTTCAACAGTTCATTTCTGTTCTATCAACTACTTGGGTGTACCCAATGAAAACAGGTAAATGACATCATATTAACCTCAAATGGCGCCAAATATGTTTACCAAGACGATTTTGGGGGGTTGGGAGGAAAATAAGCATTCATCACTTTGGGGTGCGACGGAATAGCTTAACAGTCATACTCCTGGCTGAACATGAAAGAATCTTACCCCTTCTGTTGGGATTTCTTTGTCGCACCCAAAGTGATATTCATTCTATTGATGGTTCTCTGATTTTTCATTGAAAGCAGCCAGACTCAATGCTACCCGCTGTGTTGCTTCGTCACTAAGTGGCGGAATACAATCACTATAGTCGAGGTCTGGTACTGTATGTTTTGCCTCCGTTGAATACCCATGAACTGGACACACTCTGTCAGATCCAGAACTGTATCCCGTGTCATCATTTCCCACTCGACCAAATGTCTCCCGTGGGATTTCCTCTAATTGTAATTCAGAGCTAATAAAAACTTTCAGATCTTTTCCATGTTTTTGGATCGATTCCTCTTTAAAACACTCAAAGTTTTGGGCGTCAATATCACGCTTTGTCCTTAAACCAGGATGTGGATCGAATGGCACCGTTTGTGTAAATTGCGGTTCTCCTGATATTGTTGAGACCGAGTTGTGTCCATTTCTTTCCTCTATATGTGATACCGAGCATGATTTCCTTTTACCTTCAAATGGATATAAAAATTCTTAATTACAGTTTCGGTGGTGAAATATAAGGTATAATGAAAATATTGCTGATATATTTCCAGTGCGAAAATCAACTCCATTTAAGGTAAAAAAATTATGTCTGGTATATATTTCAAATATTTTTCACCGGCAGATATATATTATAACCTTTATTTCGACTCAAAGATATAAATAATCTTCAAGAATCAATATATATCGTTTATGTTTAATTTGATTTATGCTATTTTGTAAAAAGAATGTTAAGATTTTATGATATGGTACATTATAGACTTTGGATACAAGTCACGTGCTGGCATGTTCATTGTTTCGTGATGTTAAAATATTGGTTATATTCCAAAGTATATGTCATTAAGATATCTCTTTCAGCTATAAGTAGGTAAATATACTAGTATCGAGGTTCCCCAATCAGTGTAGGTTGGTTATCAGGTTTATTCTAACTCGAACTAGTTTATTTTCAAATTGCATAAAGACACCAGTGTCTACTGCCCTTTTTAAAAATTAGCTAACGAGATTTAGATAAACATTAGTACTAACCATCACGAGTTTTGAACGTTTTTCTTCCACGTTCAGATTATTGTTAGAAAAAAGACATGTTTCTCTGGGAAAACATTATATTGGGAAACAATTGCCATGAAATATAACATCACGATGGAAGTTGCTTGATGTAATAGTTAAAAGAAAGACCAATGAAATACGTCTAGGATGTAACCCACTTGCGGGTAACCTCAAATGTTAACCAACTCCGGGACCCTGTCAGGTTTATCCAGTGAGTCGGGAGTGAGGAAACCTATTCCGTCTTTGCGTATTGCGGAGTTATCTGCTCTTGTCAGCAGGGATTGATTGTTACGTCATTTGTTTGTGAGAGTAACGTCATCAATCTTTGAGAAAACGACGTAATTTTCTCACACAAACCAATGACGTAACAATCAATACCTGCTCACAAGAGCAGATAACTCTGCAATACGCAAAGACGGAATAGTGGTTGTGAGGGAAATGTATAATAAAATGCGTACCTGTACGAAACCACCTGAACGCCAATATTGCTGACACAAGAAATACAACAAGGGCTGCGGGTACCCCGATGTAAATTCCAAGCCCAGTTTTCGTTTCCGTCACGGTATGGACTGTTTCCGTCACTGTATGGACTGTTGCTGGAGTAACTGGAAACGCATATAAGTTTTAATACGGTGTTTAAATATAAACTTTATTTATTTAACAACAATTATGAAACAAGTTATTTCAACTTATATTAATCACTCTTGTTGGCCCGGATGTTAGCGTGTGGGGGTCTTAGTGTGGGAGGAAACCGGAGTACCCGGAGAAACCCCACGTGTTCGGGCAGGTGACCCCAACCTTTTCACGTCCGATCGGGGAATCGAACCCCGGCCGTCTTGGTGAAAGGCAAGTGCGCTATCCACTGCACCACCCGACCACCCGACCACCCCATAAGGTGTTTGAAATGAAAAATTGGTGGCCGTGTTGACGACCTACGTTTGTTTTAAATCTCACGTAATGTATTTGTATTTTCCGTATATTTCTAAAGTCTTTGAACTCATATAGCTACGATAAAGCTTTCGAAATAAGCCACACTTTACTTTCGTTTTAAATCAGAAATACATCCCTTATTTTCTAGGCCGAATAAATTATAAGCTGCATTATTGTCCATATTTGTTCATCATCGATTTATTTTAAGGACCTTTTAATTAACTCATTTGTATTCCTTTTTACTTATAAGCCGTTTTTATTTTCAAGTGCAAGCAATTAATTAATATCTTGAAATATATTAATGATACGTATGTTTTGGAAGTAACTATGGGCATTTCTATAAATATATATAAGTTATACATGTATATGATACATCACTATTGCAAAATTGATGCCTGCAAGAAAACTAAAATAATATTCAATACCGCAAATTAAAAAAACAAAGGTATCCATTTCATTATGTTTCAATACTTACATCTTTCCTTTTTTTCACACGAAGATGAATTTCGTGTGCACAACTTTTTGCTTGATTTCGGAAGACTGAATACGTGTGCAAAAACGGGAACATATTGCCTGTCACCTTCCTCGTCAAACAAGCACCTCAACGTAAATGTAGATTGCTATAATTACACAAATGTTTCAGACACAATTCCCCTGTAATATTGAACAATTTTCCTCCACTCATTTTTGAAGAACATATTATCAAAATGTATTCTGAAAACAATTATATCTTTGCTCAGGTGTATGTTTCTTCAAATATACAATCTCTTTTAAGAAAGGACCCCTTTGATGAGATGAAAGACCTTAAGAAGCCCGAGTTTCCTCTGGCCCCGACACCAGACTTAGACATTTTGACAGATAGATGTCTGGTGTGGGACATCTATCTGTCAAAATGTCTAAGTCTGGTGTTGGGGCCAGAGGAAACTCGGACTAGACCTAAAGATGATGTCACATTTTTGTTATATAATTATCTATAAAAATGCAGAAGTATTTCATAATATTTTATATTTACTTATTTAGCATGATAAATTTCTAACGTATTATACATATGATTTTATCGCTTGCAGTGACATGATTTTATATATATATATATATATATATATATATATATATATATATATGTGNTATATATAACTGATACTTGATGTATTGGTATCACATTACAGTTGACATAAGTATAATATCACATGGGAGGGGGGAGGAATCAATTCTTTTACAAAATTTTATAATAAATAATTAAATTCTCTTGTTGTAGTATGGATACGTACAGGATGTGTGAGGTATGCTTTCCACTCCGTGAGATTCATTCTATAGGATTTCCTCGGGTAAAAATTTCCGGTATTTGTTATGAATATTAATATCCGGAAACCCGTTATGTCTTTGGCCGACGCTTCAAATTCAAACAGAAATACTTCACTGAACGGGTAGCGTATACAAACACAAAACAGATCTACTGTGATACGTCTTATAAAGGATTATAAAATATTGGTAGCAGATGCTATCGTCATAACACGCATTGTGGATGTTGTATACAAACGTATGTATCGTTTTGTGTTCCATTTTTGTTTTGCAATCATTACAGGTGTATTGGCTAAATGGTTGAGTTAATCAAGTTCACAATTAATATTTACCATTATTGATACAACTTAAATATTATAAACCACTACAAAGGGGAATCCTTAACGCCTGAAAGAGTGGGTTAGATATAGTACTGCTTACAGTCTCCAGGGGGATGCCATGAAAATCCCAGCTGCGTTTTGTTATTTATGTGTACTTGATCACAGCTAATTTGGCTAGGTTTGTCTGGACCACATTCTGGTACCCATGAGTCTATAATGAAACGAAGTTATTATTAGAATTAGGTTCAATAAGTAAGTTTTATTAATTGTGACATGAATCTTCTTTCCGTCAGAAAGTGTTACACTTTCAGTGTGAGAGTTAGCTCCCTTACAGATGTATGTTACCCAGAAAGTAAAATAGTAAAAAGAATATATGTAATCGTAAAAGAACATTAGAGACCGGACGTGAAACCACGTGTTCCGGATGGGTAAGCGTTATCGATTCCACACGTGATAAGCATCATGATGTCTCCCGTTAAACCTGTATTTTGTATTTTATAAAAGGTAATTTGGACTCCAATTCATAAACAAATTTGAAATGTACCTACGAATGCATGAAACACTAACATCAATGTAATAGTGAATTCATAAAAGGTATAGGTCATCCTAACTCAAAAGATAGCTCTAGCTCAAACCACAGGTAAAGTATGTAGTATTTATCCTTAACGTAGTAAGCATATTTCCTTAAGGAAGATAACTCTCACATAAACCACAGGTACAATGAGTAACATGTTATTTAAGGAAGATAACTCAGGTATAATTGGTAACATGTATCCTTAAGGGAGATAACTCTCACATAAACCACAGGTACAATGGGTAACGTGTTTCCTTAAGGGAAATAACTCTCACACAAAATACAGGTACAATGGGTAACGTGTATCCTTAAGGAAGATAACTGTCACACAAACCACAGGTACATTGGGTAACATGTATCCTTAACGGAGACAACTCTCACACATACCACAGGTGCAATGGGTAACGTGTTTCCTTAAGGGAAATAACTCTCACACAAAATACAGGTACAATGGGTAACATGTATCCTTAAGGGAGATAAATCTCACACAAACCACAGGTACAATGGGTAACGTGTTTCCTTAAGGGAAATAAATCTCACACAAAATACAGGTACAATGGGTAACATGTATCCTTAAGGGAGATAAATCTCACACAAACCACAGGTATAATGGGTAACATGATTCTTTAAGGAAGATAACTGTCACACAAACCACAGGTACATTGGGTAACATGTATCCTTAAGGGAGATAAATCTCACACAAACCACAGGTATAATGGGTAACATGTATCCTTAAGGGATATAACTCTCACACAAATCACATGGTTTTATGTGTGCCCTATTTACTGCTTATAAAAAATGCTTCCAGAAAACGTTAAATCTTAATGCAGATTTGAGTTAAAGATTTGTCTTTTATTGCATCAGATATTGTTCATTCACATATTTTGATTACGAAAACTTTATTTAATTCTGAATGGAAAGAAATCAATTGCAGGAAATCAATAAAGGTCCGCCTCGCCCATTTGGGTTATGAATTAAGTGTATTCCTATTAGATAATTTCATTGGAGTGGAATCCGCGTAGGGAATCAATACAGCTAACTCACACATACGCATAACGGTGCGTGTACTATGTCAGATTGACAAGGCTATACACATACACTATTGGTGATTTCTTTCACATTTTAAATACAGTTATATTTAACAAATCTCTGACCTTGCTACACAATATCAACACACAACAAGGGAGCAAAATGTACCTGTTTCTTCGGGTATTTCCAGCAATGTGCAGGCAAATGTGACGTTCACCTAAAACATAAAAGTGAGTAGTTCATTTGGTATTTTTTTTCATGCAAATAAGTATGGGGTTTATTTGGATATGTAGATATTATAAGTATTGTGTTAGAGAGCCTGCTGATGATAACATGTCCGGAAATACAACGTATGTATGATTCCTTCAATATTGACATTAATATCATACTGGAAACAAAGGTTTCATTGTACCCGATAATGTAAGCATATGTTACACACGGAGTGCCAAACGTTCAATTGTTATTGATTTAAATGTCCTTACTCGTTTTATATATGTCTATGTGAATATAGCCAGTAGCCAGTGAGTGTGAAACAATTACGCATCCCCCCATCCCCCCCCCNAGGAATATTGTCATACCCTGGTGTAATGCAACAAGGATATCTCCTAGTGAATGGTTCATTGAAAGGCTATTAATCGATGTTGCTTTGTTTCGTGCGCTTCGGGATCTATGCAGTTCTGTTGTCTTCCAAAAAAACAATTTAAAATCCGGATATTCCCTATAATCCAGGTTATTTAAACCATGCTTAAACGTGAACAATATAAACTATATTTTGCATGTCTTTCAACATACAGTTGTGAATATCCAGCTAATCAATATGCATGTGTTTACTTAAGTTATTATGTATTTGATATAACATAATTATGAACAGTGTACAGTTAGTTTCCATGTATGAAACACTAATTTAGGTGAATGCAATGTATACGATTTTATACCTATCACACTATGCTAATCAGTTCCCATCTGAGTCTGACAAAACCTTGTTTGTATCTGGTTAGATCAGATCATGATCGGGAAAATGTTTGATCAGCTACGTTAACTTCAGTAGACACTTTCCTTACTGCTCTGAATGACAGTGAGAGTATATGTATATATATATTTACTTTCTTGTTTATTTTCCAATGGTTGTCATTGTGAAGTTTAACACATGTCATTAAGATAGGAATAAATAAACGTATGTATGATAAGTAAAAACAATTGTATATGTGTTGACCGTTAAGCTTATGAATATTTGAGCAACTCTCTTACTTTTCAATATCGACATAACACACTCACAATGGGTCGGTAATGTTAGGGACAGGAGTATATTTACACTGTAGACGGGTAAATAGTAATTAGCTGTGTACCTAGTCTTACATATCTTACAAACCGCTACAGTGACATTTAAATCGAATGTCAATTTGAGGCCCCATAGAGAACTTACATATAGAGTAATAAAACTTCCATGTGATATAGCATGTATTATACTTTAAATAGCCCTATGTGGCAAATGAAATATTAAAAACACACACACACAAAACAAATAAATCGCATAATGAATAAGTATAGAATCAACAGGAAGTGAGGAACACCAAAGCAAGAAGGAAGAAATCACAAAATAACTCCATTACTGAGGGAGGGAAAGGGTTTTCAATACAATGTGTAGTACCCATCATGATGTACAGGTATTCAGAAGACATTGAGGGACTATCCTACACATGTAGAAACAAACAGGGTTTTTTTATCACGGGAAAAAAAAGAAAAAACAAGAGTAAAAGTCATACAACTTACATTATGGTCGATTGCCGTACAGGTACTGTTGCAAGTAAGAGAACACGATACTGGGTTAAACAACCAGAGTACGAGAGACAACCCGAATCCCGTAAAATGTGTCATGATCCACACCACTTAAAAGAGAACGCTCGGTTAACATCACTTTCACCCATAACAATTATATATTTTATAATGTTATAAATACATGATATAAGTTATATCTGCCTACAGTTTACAATAGACTCCACATGACCAGTCACAATAGATAACGGTGTCGATCTGATAACAACATTTCAGTTTGCATAACGATATGTAAAAACAAACCGGCGATACTGTCAGTTTAAATCAAACCCTTGTCTATGTGTATACCGTACATAACTGTATATAAAGTGCTCTCAATGAAGAAATGAGAACAAGCCTTTTGAACTATTCTTGATAATATAGAAAAACCAAACACAAACACTAGATTATTTTTTTAACACACGTATTAAGTTCATACCATCTATGGCGGGAAATTGTACACTGAAACTACGCGTCTCTGATTAATGTATTAGGAAAATAATGTATTAGGAGAATACTGTATTAGGAGAATAATGTATTAGGAGAATAATGTATTGGAGAATAATGTATTAGGAGAATAATGTATTAGAAGAATAATGTATTAGGAGAATACTGTATTAGGAGAATACTGTATTAGGAGAATACTGTATTAGGAGAATAATGTATTGGAGAATAATGTATTAGGAGAATACTGTATTAGGAGAATAATGTATTAGAAGAAGAATATATTAGAAGAATAATGTATTAGGAGAATAATGTATTAGGAGAATAATGTATTAGAAGAATAATATATTAGAAGAATAATGTATTAGGAGAATAATGTATTAGTAGAATACAACATGAAAGACACTTTTACATCTAAAAAGTAAGACCACACAAATAGAGTATAGTTTGTGGAGGTAAACAATGAGTTTACTGTGATACATATTAGGAGAGTCATAGGCTATACATCAAACAGTAGTGTTAGTCAAACGGTTCCACATAGACCAACTCTATCCTATCAAAATATAATTTCATATCTTATATAAAAAGATGTCTTTTACTTAAAACTTAGGTATTTGTCTGTGTCATTGTCGAAAACTTATATCTACTGCATACATTGTCATATATACTTATAAACTGTATCATTTACATAGCATATATTGTTTATAAACGATATACATTGCTATTTATAAAGTATAGGTTGTTGTTAAATATACACTGTTACATACAATGCATTATTTTGTTTTACATTCTGTATAAATATATAAATACAGTGTGTGATATATATACAATACAATGGTAAATATACTATATACGTTGATAAATACATTGTATATACTGTTATTATTCGTTATACATAGTTATATACACTGTTTACATCGTTATATACACTGTTTACATAGTTATATGCACTGTTTACATCGTTATATATACTGTTTACAACGTTATATACACTGTTTACATCGTTATATACACTGTTTACTTAGTTATATACACTGTTTACATCGTTATATATACTGTTTACATCGGTATATACACTGTTTACATCGTTATATATACTGTTTACATCGGTATATACACTGTTTACATCGTTATATATACTGTTTACATCGGTATATACACTGTTTACATCGTTATATATACTGTTTACAACGTTATATACACTGTTTACATCGTTATATGCACTGTTTACATCGTTATATATACTGTTTACATCGGTATATACACTGTTTACATCGTTATATATACTGTTTACAACGTTATATACACTGTTTACATCGTTATATATACTGTTTACAACGTTATATACACTGTTTACATCGTTATATGCACTGTTTACATCGTTATATATACTGTTTACATCGTTATATACATTGTTTACATCGTTATATACACTGTTTACATCGTTACATACACTGTTTACATCGTTACATACACTGTTTACATCGTTATATACACTGTTTACATTGTTATAGACGATATATGAATTGATGTATGTACTGTATACAAAGAGGTTTCTATACAGGATTATGTCTTCTGCTAACATTGTTACTCATATTGTATAAATTAATATATATACTTTAAACATTGTTATATAATATAAACATTATTTAATTTTATGTTACCGTAGTCATTTTCATTGTATGCACTGTTTGATATATTGTATACAATGTTAGTTTTGATGTATTATGTTGTAATACAGAATTTATATATCCAATTACACTATACATTGTTAAGCATTCCGCCCACAGTATTGTATACTGTGTATATGGATATTGAATTTATCAATACATGTACCTTATACAATAATATCTATTTCGTGTATATTGTTTTACATACTATATTCAGACAATTTTTTGCGATTTGTCCAATACGATGAATCCGCGAATTTAACACGTCAGCGAACTGTCCGGGTAACATAATGCACATCAAATATCAAATCCGAAAGTTCAACACGGCGCAAATCAATATTTTTCACACGAATGTCAAAATAACACTGCACAAAAACAAAGTATAACCAAAACTCCCTTGTTTAATTCATTGTATGATGTAAATTCAATGAGTGACAATGGATTGGGAATTTAATTCTTCTTTTCATTGTTTTCTTAATGCCTTCATAAATAAACTCCACACCATTATAATTAGAGGTAAACAGTTACCGTACTCCATACTATCTAGTATATGACGCTCAAGACTTGTTCGGTTATTTTACGGTATGGTATTGCAATGCGGATTTTAAAATCGTATCAAAGCTCTTTACAGCTCGCTGATTAGTGTAATAGAATATAAAATCTCCCACTGACACCAAACCGGTTTAAAACAAAGGTCTTTTGTTGGCGTATTAACTTATATCTGATTACATGCAGGCCACGTAAAGTCTAATTCAAGTCAAGTGGCATCGAGTACTATAATCAAATGCATTAGACCATGCGTATTGCTTCGTTTATTTTGTATTTCAACCATTTTGTAACCCTATAGTTGACATTAGCAGACGACTGTCGCTGATGACCAATCTGTATCAATAATTCTTTGATGTCTCTACATTTAGAGTTTATTGTTTGAAGTCGCATACATTGGAATGTACCTGTGAAGCAAGCAAGTAAGTAGGGGATTGCATTATGTGTCAATTTGACATGTTTAGATTACGTATTGGTACTTTGTAGATAAATTGATTCACCAGATTTTAGTAAACATTTCTCTGATTCTGATATATTTTGATGAACCATTTCATCTACATTATGCAGTGCAAGAAACAGATGTTATTCTTAGTGTGTCCATAGCGTCCTAAAAGACCTTTTAAGTTTAGTATTTTCATATCAAGTTTGATGTCAGATTTTGTCCTTGTGTTGTAACGCTGTGGTAATATTTTTTCATTGTGCTGACGGTGTGATATAATTCTGTCATTGAGTGTCGTAGACGTGATATAGTTTGTCTTTGCGTGTTGATACTTTAAGATAGTATGTCCCCATATGCTGACGGTGTTCCGTTCTTTTCATGATGAAATCTTGTATGCTGACGATTTGATATATTTTGTCCTTGTTTGTTGCAGCTGTGATATATTGTCTGTCGTTTTATGGTGACGCTGTGAAATATTTTGTCTTTTTGTGATGATGATGATGATGATGATGATGATGATATCGTTTGGCCTTGTATGATGTTGCTGTCTTACATTTGGTCCATTTTTGAAGATGCTATATTTAATTTTGTCCTTGTAAAATGACACTGTCTTATATTTTGTCCCTGTTTGTCGAAACTGCGATATTTTTGTCCTTCAAAAAAGCTGTTATACATTTTGTATGGTGACCTTGTGACGTATTTTGTTATACATTTTGTATGGTGACCTTGTGACGTATTTTGTTATACATTTTGTATGGTGATCTTGTGACGTATTTTGTTATACATTTTGTATGGTGACCTTGTGACGTATTTTGTTATACATTTTGTATGGTGACCTTGTGACGTATTTTGTCTGTGTTTGACGCTGGGGTATATATTGTCCTTGAGGTTCACAAAGGCAGCCAGTGCTGCAGCCGTATTTCTTGTGTTAAGCAATTGTCAATGAATTCAGCAATTATCTAACACGAGTGGAAAACCATATCCAAACAAAATATCTTGCATACAAATAACAGGAAAAACAAATTTTCTAGTAAAAGTATAGAAAACAAACTTACAAAAATTAAATTAAACTAATATTAGCATCGATGAATCACTGAACAATTTTGAATTTTTGTTTCAATCATTTTACAAAGTGTATTACTACATTTAATTTCGTACAACTGGTTCGAATGTTCAATACATGCTAAATATGACTTACATGTGATATTTAAAAGAACAATGATGATATATCGCTTAGTTTCATTTCATATCTGACTGACGGGAGACGAAGCATGGTCTACACCCACTAAGTTTTTGTAATACGTACATGATACTTTAGACAGAAAAGCTATAACAAATTAGATAGTGTGTTAATACGAATGAATTCTGAATTTTGTCATTATTGAATATGGAAAAAGCTCTGAAATATAAATATTTATTTCAAGCAAAAAAAGTAATACGGAAGGCAATAATCGAAATTGATTCTAATATTTCATTTATCAAATACAAAATACAAAAACTTAATCTCCATTGTGTATTTGTGAAGGTGTGAGAGATTACATTGTTATCTTTACATTCGCATACGTACGCTTGAATATATGAATATGACAAATCTTTGATAACCTATAATTGTGATATATGTCATGAGGCGACGGTTGAATGTACTTAACATATACATGTATAGACATCACTGATATACCTGCACTAATAATTGATATGGACACCACAGCGGTAAAACTAAAGTGATATCATATTCACGCCTCACGAACGCCTTTACAAACGAACGGTTGTGATTTGAGCTCATAGCCGACTTTAAGACAAACTGAACATATTGCAAACTACCTTCGCACTCACATTGAATATGGACAAACCTGAAATCAGTTCGATGCTTAAGAATACATGTGTCACTACAAAAAAAGGAACAATGCGTTTGAAACTTTTTCCTTTCATGACTATAGCTTCGACAAATCTTGTCTGATGGAAAACAATAGTTTGTGTCACTTTTATGAAAAAGTGATGACAAATAATTTACCAAATATCAACAACAGTGTTCTTGGTGTAAAAAATTGCAATGGGGCCTTATCAGTAAAATTACCACTGACCGAGATACATGTATAACAAATCAATATATGGTTTCAAGTTATTGTATTTTTAATATCCAGACGTATGTCTGTAGAAGGACAGGGGTCCTTAAATTGTAAACCCGATGGTAACATAAACAACACACATAAAACATGAATACCTCTGTACTGAATGAATAACGGACCTTTTTGAACTGCCAGCAATTCAACTAGATATCACAAACACAATAGTTCAGTCCGTTGTATGGATTGATATTACACGGTCAGTGGTAAATGTCTTCAGTGAACGATGTGATCGTGTTTAAGGTAGACAGTGACACACTGATCCTATCAGATTTGACGGGGTAGTGTCCTGTCTGAATCGACAATAAACCTCGTGTAATTTGGGTGTTCATGTTTCGTGTAAACTTAACTGATTGATCATAATCTCTTTCGTTATTTGCTTAAGCTTCGATATCAATTAATGCAAAATCGCTGTATTTCATTCTTTTGACATTAAGAACAGCTGATGAGTCCTAAATTAATAAAATGGTCATATGTTACAGTAAAGTGTTTATTTGACTTGGCTTTCTACATCGGTAAACGATCTTTTAAAAAACGTGCTTGATTATTTCATATTTTTCGTGAATATTTTACATGGAAAGGTGGTTGACCATAGCTATGTAGCTTGACTTAATTCTGGCATAATTTACATGAAATATAAGTTAAAGTTTCAAAACTTTGTTGTAGGCAAAAGTTATTAATGTATTAAGCGTGATAAAGGATTTTACAGGCACCTTTCCCTTTTCGCTGTATTCTACATATATTTTAGAATACTTTATACGTTAATTTTTCATTCTTTTGTTCTTAATTACCACAAATAAATCGAATGTCGTATGGTGCAATAACATATGATAGAGCAAAACAAAGTTTTCAAATAAAAATGACATTGACCTACTTTCAAGGTCACTATCTGATCAAATTGGTGCTTCATTTCTTTCACTTTCTAGTGAAAATTGGGTATCAAGAATACAGAGTGACTTCATAATTGTTGTTATCTACCCCGAATTTTTATATCGTTATCCTTACATCAGAGGAACACGGGATATATTATAAATATCATCAGTACATGTTTCATGTATATCTTCATACTAGACCTTATCAAAAGAGTGTTTTTTCAAGTATTCCCATTTTATACATTAAAGACATGCTATTTTGTTGTAATTCTTTAATTAGCGTTACATAACGATTATTACGTCATAGTCGATTTCATTGTTATTACATAATAAAACAGCTGACTTGAGAGAACCCGATGTAATTCCTTTTCAATCTAAATATAATTTTTTACTTTTTTTCCAGCACAATTCTAACAAAATGACGACGAAGCAACCGTCCCCAGTGTCACGACAATCGACGTCATCGTCGAAACAGTCGTTTGACACCCGGAAGTCGATTGTGTCTGTCAGTGGTATCAACATGGAAACCGGATCCTTGGCAACACTTCCTGCCTCTGTGGAGAGTCCAGAACCACTGATTGAGGAATATAATCCCATGTTAAATGGAGTGAAGAAAAAAGTGAGTGTGTGTGCATTGCAATTTTTTTCTGCTGTGTAAATTGTTGAAGTATTGTTGTTGTTATATTGTTCATATAACGAAGCGTTCCCGCCTAAAACTAAATAACCATGTGGGATAAATATATTTGATATGATAAGTGACGTCATTAAAATGATATTTTGGCCAGTGGAAGGACAGCCAAACAGAGTCGGAACCTGGCATCGCCGCACGCGAATTAGATTTTTTTTTAAACAATAGTCTTTTAAACATCTTTCTGTTTAAACATCATGCTTTTTCAAATATGTTTAATATTGAACTGTGAACAGCATATAGAAAACCTTCCATATTTCCTGTAGCATTCGCGATGTCATTGTTGATTATTTCCCAGTCTGCATGCAAGAGATGGGAGAAAGAATGAGTCAGTCATCAATCGGTATGCTAAATAGGAAAATTGTTACATCTGGTTTAGTAAATAGGCTTAAACCCTCGGCAAAATTTCCCTATTCCACAAACTTAAAAATGAAAAACCCCTTAAATCTTTAGTGGTATTTTTTCAAATTGATCTTACTATGAATAATGAAATGAAAGTATTCAGTTAAATTACGCCATAACGTTGTTATACCATGCATCTATAGAACTAATACGACTTATGCACAGAATTAGTTTTGATGTTTCAGCTTCTCACTGCTGCGAGAAAGTGTGATACCAACACGTTCGTCTCCATACTGGAAGAATGGCAAAACCTGAACCTCAATTTCGTCGATGACGTAAGTTATTGCATAGATTGTGTTTTGTCTCTTTTTTCTTTTCTTTTTTAAAAGAAAACTGATGTTAATTAGATATGCGTAAAAACAATAGTATATTGTTTGTTATATAGGAAGGGGATGAAAATAAACCCTACATTTATATAGGATATCAATAATGCTTTCACATAGCATGAATGTATAGAGAATGATACATGTCTTTCTTCTATCACACCCAATATCAACCGAGACACCAATATCAGCCCGAGGACCGAAGGCCTGAGGTCTGATATTGGTCGAGTGTTGATACTGTGTGTAATATGGAAAAAAGGTATTATTATTCTGTTTAGTACATACTTACTAATAAAATACGGAATTATCTACTATCCTATGATCTATTTTTCTTTTGAAATATTGAAAAAACGAAACATTTCCAAAAGGGGTGTGATACGGGTTTTGCGGGCTGATGCGGAGAGGGTGATACGGGTTTTGGGGTGTGATACGGCGAGGGCTGATATGGGTTAGAGAAATTGTATCGTATCGCATATACAAAAAAAACGTATTTATTAATAAGTATGTAATAAAAACTTTCTATTTGATGAATGACAAAACTCGTGGGATACTTACTTTTCCCATAGAGTATCCATCAAGTCAGTGTAAATATATAACTGATATCACCAGGAAAAAAAAGGCATTCTCTTTGTATTGTACTCCAGTGAAGTAATATTTATATTTCATTTAAGCTTATATTGATGAATATCTGTTGGAATCGAAAAAACTGAAAATGACCTTGTTGACAGATTATATGATTTTTTTTTTAATTTTTAGTCTGGAAAAACACTACTTCATCTTTGTGCAAATGTCGGTAACAAAAATGATGTGATTTTATTACTTCAAAGAAATTGTCCAGTCAACAGAATTGATAACGTAAGTTAAATTACCTTTTACAATACATGTCACGTCAATAATAACATAAAACGTATTCGTCCCTCAATACAAATCATCTCCTCCTGAATCTTGTAGTTGCGCAGGTGTTATATGGCCTCTTTGATAATAACTTTACAAAAGGCCGGAAGTGGACTAATATCACAGACTGTAAAGAAAGTAATTGGTATTTATAACATATACAACATTTCTAGCTAGCTAACATAAGCCACTCTAAAGCGCTCTTTACAGTACATAGATATACAATTAATACAATTAGGATATTATTTTTTTGAGGAATTCGCAGGAGCTGCCTTATCAGGGGCTAACTACTAGTCCTATGCCATCTGGCTAATATCTCCCTATGTGTGTATGCCTGCGTGTATGCTGGTGATGTATTGTGTTGTACCATTTATAGACAAAAATCACATGCATTCATGACGCCAGTTATTTTATTTAACTTGAGTATAGGAACAGTTGTATGTGAACTTTACAGAGTTATGAGAAATGCAGCTTTATGTACACAAATGTATTTGATTAGTGTGCTGTGTTGGCTTGTTATCACTATCTTTGTTCCAACTTTGAAGGCATGACATTACGTAGATTTGACGTACATTGTCCATGATGAAGCAGAAAACACCTACATCCTAGAACATGTCTTATTTTCTAGTCGTTTTCCAATGACTCGATGGAAATATTTCCTTTTTAAGCCCTAGTTTCATTGATTTTGAGTTAAAATAACGGTTTTGTCCCAATTCGGTATAATCATGCTTGAAAATTATTATCTCTTGTATGTATTTTGCTAAGAACAGATGGGGCATTCTGCCCTCCACTACGTGGCGAAGAAAGATTACGCAGACATTGCCGAGTTGCTGATAGTCAATGGAGCACACTTTGATTTACCGGAAGAGGTGAGGGATAATTCATTTATTTATGTTATTATTTTATTTCATTGTTTTATTTTATTGTTTTATTTTTAGTGTTCCAATTGAGTTCCATCGATTGATAAAGTTATATATACCTGTATATATTAATTCAACACACAGTGGCCAGGAAAGTAGTTCGATATTATTTGTGAGATGGCTATTTATTCGGATTTTGGTTATGAAAGTTAAAGATTATGAAGTACGTCTTTAAACAAAAGAGATAAACTTTAAAAATGGTACTGTTTCCTTTCAGAAAACTGGACAGACGGCCTTGCACTTTGCTGTTGCCAAAAACTATGTGGCTACTGTGGAACTTCTCGTGTTTAGTGGAGCAAGTGTTCAAATCAAAGACAAAGTAAGCCTTCAGAAAATGTCAATTTATTTAAATGCATCCATCAGATATGATATTTTAGTATTCCCATATCGGATTTTTTTTTTGTTAACTCAAATAGTTCAAAATTTAAATGTAACAGTTCCAGTTTTAACATTTTGAGTTAATAATTTTATAGCAAGCCAGTACAAAGTAAATGCAAATATGATATAATGCGACTTCTAATAGTTGACTGGATATAATATCGGATGCATGATGATGGTGGTTGAATAGTAAGTGTATTCTTTTTTGAAATAACTACATGGCATATTCTTGGTAACTCATTTGAAAGGAATATATCAAACTTAAGAGCAGAGAAAGATTACATTATTTACTCGCAATGAAAGCGATGTTTAAGACTTTTTCCTTTCCTTTCCTTTTTTTTTTACAATTTTTCCATAAATTCTGTGTGGGTAAACATGAAAATTGATATGAAGGGAAATGTAAACGATCTTTGAAGTCTTTTACATTATTGATGGTAGTAAATTGTTCACATTACTTGATTCTCTCCATCTTGTATGTGTTACACTTCAGACTGTAGTCAGTTTTTATCTATTTTATCTATGCTACATATGCGGAATCCTATAATAACAAGTGGTTCATAGGTAGGTAAATGGTTAAATGCACTTTTTTGTATGTACAGAAGTAATGAAATGATGTGCATGAATGTCATTCCATCTTAATTTATCTCACTTACAAGTTTCAGCTACATATATAGAATAATTTAACAATTTAACACGTTATCATATTACTCTGCACAAAGTCTCACTAACGTCATACAGTAACGGGTACCTTGTAAACAAAAATAGTGTTTGGAGATAATTCGATATTTATAAATCAATATTGAAAACGGGAGCTAAAAATAGCATCACCCATGTATATCATTACTACTAAAGTCACGGACCTATATTGTGAAGGAGGGTAAGGTTAAAAGAATAAAATCAAAAGTGTTTCCAAACGTGGCAAAACAATTGTTGTCTTGCTGTATTTCCACAAACAGTAATTCCCATAAAACCACCGAATGCCATCATTGAAAAACAATGAAAACATATTTGATGAGGAAATTCCATTGTGTACTTATTTCTAATGCATTTTTAATCAGCTCTTCATAGAGTCAGTATACATCATGTTACTGGTTAACTTTTCACCGCATAAACATATGTAGTGAAACAATGCAAGTGATTTACCACAGTGCATATTTCCTCAATGTGGGACAGAAAATCGAATTTCCTCAGTCATTGATTTCAATACAAGAGATGGCTATATTTAGAAATATAAAGTTCTAGTGTAGCGATACATGAAAAAAATTAAATATTAATCAGATATGTGTTAGTACAACAGTTTTGTATCCTAGAACTGTAGATGTGTATAGGTCGCTACTTACACCAGGTTACTGTTAATATAGATAAACTGAAGTTACACTAAACTGGACACAGAGTTTACATACCAGATTCAGAGGAGAAAATAACCCGTGTAATATGGCAGACCTACAGTATGTATACTATCGTCCGTCCAAAGAATTACAGATTTACCCAGATGACAACGAATCTATCGTCTTTGATGAAGAGGATGCAACTCCTATTATTACTTTGCCAGTGGAAGATGTAGGCATCACCAAGCTTTATTATATTATATTAATTAACACTCGGCACTTTTATGCGTTAATGACGTGTTTTCCATCGATGTGTATTGAGAGTATGTCACGATCAAAACATGTTTATTTTGTCTTAGATTGTTGGTGACAAACACACGTCTCTTATGTTGACAGGCTCACACGTGTGGTGCAGTAGAAAGTTCCCCTTCAGGAACATCTATTTCAACTACTTTCTTTTGGGGTCACGAGGTCATTCCTTTTGTGTTGATGTCTCCTCGGTTCTGGTTTTCTTCATTGGGTCATGCTGTTTTTCCTTTTGTGTCGGTGTTTCCTCGATTTTTTCTCTATCGACTCTAAGTTACTGTGTATGTTTACATCAAATGTTTACAGATGTTAAAAAGTGTGGAAACGTGTCTGTTTGGATGTATGAGCACTGACATTTATCTAATACATGAATATATTAAACTGTTAAAAGTATTTTCATATTGTTAGATTAACTTGTATTCCTTTATTTTAGAACAACAGAACCCCGATAGCGCTGTGTCGATCCAAAGAAATACATGCACTCTTGTCTACAGCTGTACAGTCTTCAGGAGGTTACAGACCAGGGTAAGTTTAACAGATGAAATAGTACTTAATATCACATGTATGTAGTCTTCTGGAGGTCACAGACAAGGACAAGTACCTAGGATTAACAAGTACTCAAGGTAACATGTAAAAAGGCTTCTGGTAGTCATAAAGCAGTGTATATGCAGGTGATTTGTGTTAACAATTACTGTTCTGTATTTAACGTCTTGTTGTCTGAGCACCTCATTTGGGAAGCTCGTTATTGCTCTCGATATATATTAACTTGGATGTACATCGTCACTGCGTATTTCCTTGTCTTTTTGCGAAACATATGTGTTTGATTGATCACGTGCTATTAACAGAGAGATGACGATGCAAACGGTTGAAGTACAAGGTGGTGGCATAACAGAATGTTGGAAACTCGGCCTCACGATCGACTACAGTACAGGACCAGCAGACGACAAGTTCTCGCTGATGTGTCGACGTCAGACAACAGACGAGAGTGACTTGGGATTTGGATTTGAGAACAGCGAAGATGTATGCAGTGATGCTTTCCAGTATAGGCTAGGGAGGACAGGAAAACCAACTCCGGTTAGACTCACGGTGCCAATATACTCAGGCCCAAACGCCAAGGAGGAAATAGTACTCAGGACAGATAAGGGACACGTGTTCTCAACAGCGTCGCTCAATAAAGTTGAAACTGATGTAAGTAAATAAACAGCTGTTATTCGATACTAATCTGAAAAAAGATTTTTGTTTGAATAGACTATATCTTGTTTTCCTTTTACTATGTATCCTCATCTTTGCCGTACTAACACATTACCTTTCACGGTATTTCATATATGTTTGAACACATGCCAACTGTGTTTTTATTCTTTTGACTTTCAGTACCACTAACGAATACTTTGAAGTACTATTCTGAACAGTTAAGATAAGCAATGATTATGATTATGACATTCCATTATATGATAATATATTATATTAAACCAGTTTGAGGATCAAGTGAATAATAATGCCATAATAATTTGATGCTATCTTTTCATGCCTAGAACTATCCTACTTAACTTTACCACGTGGTTATCTTTCATAGACTCCCTATGCCGTGGCGGTAGTGGACATATCCCAGTTCAGTTCTTTTATCCTGGTGTGTAGACCCCAGACCGACCTCTTTAAGATACCAGTTGAGGGAGGGACGTTTACCTCTAAGATAAACCCTAATGTCGGAGTCACTGTACAAGCAAATACCTTTTCCAAAGACGTGAAATTAGTGCTACAGGTATGGAAAAATTTCTTCTGTTCTAATTGTTTTGATAACAGAAGTGTAAAATATTCGTTGAAGAATAAGAACATTAATTGCAGACAATAACATAAGAATGATAATACTTTTACTATCAATGTTTAAACTTTTTTTTTTTGCCAATATAAACAGAGAACAACCACGGGGGTCCTGTTCCGCAATTATATGCAGTCTTTTTAAATTAAACATTTTTATTATCAAAACGTACTACTTTCCTTTTATGGTTTACCAACAGACAATATCAATTCCGAATCCCAGCGTGTTGGGGTCAGACGGGATGAAAGACATCGTATCAATGACGTCATTCAGTAGCTTAAAAGCAGAGAATCGTGAAAACCCAAAGATTCCTATTCAGCTTCGTCTTCCTCCTCCAAATGGTGGTAAAAACCTCAAATTAGTTTCTGCTGACGTTACAGAAGTAGCCTCTGTCACCGATATGGGCTGGAGTGTCCGAGATGACCCTCTTAGTGTTACACCAGACGGAGTTGAGTTAGACATCAGCGACGGTGCCATGTAAGTATGTTAAAAAGGCAATATCAATTTAATGGTCGTTGTTATGATGTTATTTGTTCTGTCCTGTTCAAAAATTTGTAATGGAAACATAATCCAGTTAATAATATTGATCCGGTAGTAGACAGTTTCCGGTAGTTAAAAATAATCGTTGACGGTGAATGAATCTCTTTCTGGACCATCAATTATTTATTATACCGACAAAGTTTATGAAAAACAAAAACAAAGAGAAAATGCATAATTCATCAGATGACTTTGGATGCTGTGAGGGCAAATCACAACAAAAATGTCCCCAAAGGATGTGGTCAATCTTTCAGAACAAGGTCGGACGATTGGGGTAGATATTGAACACACACTTCCTTGGTGACGCTATCTCCTTATCATATGATGCATTCCCGTGACATGGTTCGCCTCTTTTATTTATGTTTATTTTGTCCCGTTTATCCATATTGTTCCTGTTGTTTTTCATTATGTTTTGATGCGCCTCAAGTTTTAAAGTGATGTTTTGTTTTATTATAAAATGTTGGAATATTGCTTGATTGTTATCTTTTTCTCTTCGGATCTTTTACGTGACTTCCATGTTGTTTTCTCCTTGGTTCCTGTTGGTGTTTTTAATGTAGACGTAGTTATCTATATCTTACTTTTTAGTTTTATTTTATTGATGTATCCTTATTTTACAGGAAAGTAATTATGGAGGCTAAACCAGGAACAGAAATGGTAGCATTAAAACCACAAATCGGTCTCGTATTTCAAAAATCTACCCATCGAGAATATTCTATTGTGTTTATAGTTTTAACAAAACATGACAAAAAAAACAACACTTTCAAAACAGTGGTTGAGTGCAATACAGAAGAATGCAGTAAAGAAGCAAAAAAGAAGTGGATAAATGACGGGTTCATTGACCAAAGACCAGGTGATGTACTGTGTTATAAAGGACCAACGAGACAAAGATACAAAATTATAGCATCAAAAAACCTAAGACCACAAGGAGCAGAAGATGGTTTCATGATTTTTCAGTTTCATCCGAAAAGAAGCAATTTTTCGGTGTTTACAGCAAGCGTGAAGAACAATGTACAAAACGAGACCGGAAATGTGCGAATACTCGAGTACAAAATTGTATATAAGACAGCAGCACAATTGGAAACGGAGGGTCCTGCAAAACCTGTGGAAAATCTGCTCACGAATGTTCACATCACTTTTGATAAATCGGAAAAGGATACTGCCGCAGCAACAGTACCATTGATACAGGTACAGGAGCCTACCGACATTGAGAAGAAACCCGCCAAACCTCCAGTCAGTACGGCAATGCCAAGGGCACCGGCACCGGCACCGGCACCGGCTAAGCCAGCGACGGCAGTATCGAAACCAGTCAAATATCAGGGCGGAAAGGGAACTGAAAAAGGTACAGTGGAACACCAGACCTTTTATTCCACGTAGAGAAACCCTTCATAAATATAGCAAACATAAGACACACTAATCCACATAGGAACAGTTTCCTATAGTAGACAAAAGGCAAAATATCGGAGGTAGCCTTTATATAACCAACATCTAGATCAGTTTTCCGAAAGCCTGGTTAGCTTACTGACACCTTTTAAAAACCGACACCTTTTAAAAGTTTATTGTTGTCGAAATTATTTGGTGTAAATGATGAATACTGGTTTGGTTTTAAATCAAATTTGTCATTCGACGCGAAAATGTAATTATTGGAATATTTGAGTGAAAAGAGGGGAGAGAAAGTGATAAAAGAAGAAAATAAAGATTAGAAAAGAATTTTGAAAATCGGAGCAAAGCTAAATGAGCTTTGGGTCAAATTGGAACAACATATTATCCTTCCTTTTATTAAGGTATCTCCTAGGTTCGTGTGGTTTTTTTTGTTTGTTTCATTTTGCACTCGTGATTGACGCTGCAGTATAATATAGTAATAGATTATATTTCTGAAATTGTTACCATTGCAACTATGAAATTTGTTTCAGTTTTTACAAACGACGAGTTCCTCTACACGGTGGTTAAGGAACTGGATGATGAATGGTACAAGATCGTGGTGATGATGGGCTGGAACTTCCCGGATGTAGAGAAAGAGCTCCTGAATTCAAACGGTACCCAGCAGGACAAGATCATGCATGTATGTGTCCACTATATATAGAACATCGCCTGAAGAGCCCCAAGATGGGCGAAAGCGCTAGCCGATTATACTAGTCTTCGTGTTTTATTTTATTTATGTTTTTACCGTCACATGGACATTTAAAACTATTTATCGCTAAATATATATATATATATATGTATTTTATAAACTCAGCTTAAACGTTACCAGCTATAAAATATTGACGGTTAAAACATAAAACGTTGCACATATGGCAATATCATTGAATATATTACTCAGACATTTTGAAGTAACGACTCATGGTTTTATGACAGTTTTTTTTTATATATATATATATTGCAATGATAAATAGCAGAACCTCGCTTATCATCACACTGCTGAATAAGGCTAACATGCTAGAACTGCGTTAATGGTGAGATTAGAGTGTCACATCGGAACCTTGTAAACCCGTATACTGATAGATCAGAGCAGATGATCAAAGTGCATTATCGTTCTGGCGCATACTGATAAACCGAACATAATTACAGAAGAATCCCAATAATGCATATTATTATCTTTGTATAACGATCGGTTAATCGCTTGATCATTGTTTGTGTTAATACCGAACGAACAAAATATAAGTGTGTCTTAACATTTTCCTATAGTTCATGAAAGAATGGCAAGAAAAAAGCCGGACACGTGATGACCTCGGTTTGCCGAACCTACTCACCGCTTTAGCCAAAGGAGGTCGTCGTGATCTCTGTACAGTCGTGTCTCTCCAGATGAAAGAATGGTAAGTAGTATTGTAAATCATACTCCTTTGTAAAGAATGTAAATTAAATGTTGGTTTGGAAAGGATAATACTTCCTCATAAAGAAAGAGGAAATCTTCGTAGTTACCAAAAAATGAAAATACTTACTGTCAATGAAAACAAACGACTTACAAGTGAATAAGGCGCATGCCATGTCTGTCATAAACAAATATGGAAAAATCCTCAGATTATGTTCTCGGGTTAAATGGATATATCTATATATTTTTTAATTTTATTTTTATGTATAATTTGTCAGTCCACGAAAGTCGAAAACACTTCATTTGAAGTGTTGCAGCACAATATTCCCGAATTTGCAAGGGTTAACATACATTAGTTTTGCCAATTCATTTAATAAGAAATGCAGCTGATATTTTTTAATTGTATGTTTGGTCTTATCACGTGATGTACACAGTCTCACATATTTATAGGTTCGACCAGCATAGCAATCAGAAATCAAACTTTTGGAAATGGGTTCAAATGGCGTTCAAGGACTCCGATCTCATCAACCCTGGAGGTAAAACAAATCAAATACCCAGATGTTCTGGGGTTTTTTTCAAAACACTTTTTTAAACAGAGTTTACTATTTATATTACGAAGTCACTCTGAAGATATAATGATTATAGTGCAAATGTCGTATCAAGTTATAAAGTCGATATTGTTAGACCTGTAATGAGTCATCGGAGTGACCTTTGCTGTACACAGATACAATGCAGATTTAATTGGTAAATTAAAGAATAAAAAGGTTGTTCCTTTAGCTATCATTATTGACATTTATCTATTTATTTATTTATTTAGTTCGTTAAACATAAAACGTTCATTGTGGTTGATTCTAGATTACCCAAAGCCAATGTCAGACCAGTTCCTGCTGCTCCTGGCCCAAGCGTTAAAACCATCCCTAGACATCGCCGGACACCTGGATATCCAGAAAACGGACATGGAGCGCCTCAAGAAAGGAAACGGTTCTGATGAATTCAAAATGCTCAAAGTATGTATTTTACATTCTTAAAATACTGTCCGTATAATGTCCAATTTAGTTCTATTTAAAAAATATTGAAAATGGCAAAAATGTGTTTTACTTATTATCTATTCTGTCTCGACTGTTTTAACAGTCAGACAACATATATATTCTGTTAAACAAAGCAAAGTATATGTTGTAGGTCTGGATATGTGTAACACATTGATAGTCTGTCATATCTATGATATTTTCAACAGTAGTTTAGTCCCATTTGGATTTATAACTTTTGTTCCCTGGCATTATCGATGAGTCTAAGGAGGAGGACACGGCTGTATGATTCAGTGTAATTCATTGTTGGCATACTGTATCTGTTAGAGGTACACTCACCCATGTGTGTGTTACATTACTCTAGCTGTCTACATACTTATAATTTACAACGTTTTTGCCAAGACACGTTAGTTTGGTTTGGTTAGGTTTAGTATTGTTTAACGTCCTATCAACAGCTGTGGTCATTTAAGGACGGCCTCCTCTGTGTGCAAGATGCATGCGTGTAGTGTATGTGTGTGTGTTTTGGGAGGCTGCGGTATGTTCGTGTTTGTCTCCTTGTGATAACGTGGAACTGATGCCGACTTTATGGTTCTACCTTACTGAAACATACTGCCGAAGACACCCAGCAGGTCACTCCACCCGGTCAAATTATACTGACAACGGGCGAACCAGTCGTTCCACTCATAAATTGCTGAGAGTTAAGCAGGTGTAGAAACTACCATTTTTACAGACTCTGGTATTTCTCGGCCAGGGGACAGAACCCAAAGCCTTCCTCACAGGGACGAACGCTCAACTAAAGGCCGAAAGTGAGACATTGTCAAGGGAGACATTAGGAAGAAGAAGGTTGTTTAGAAAGAATAGAAAAGATAATATCCTAAATTTAGTCGCCTCTTATGATCATGCAATGGGGGTAGCAGGTCCAATTATTACAAATGTACGCCCTACCTGCAGGGACCGTATAATTGCGTTTAATTCATGATGGGATATATATATTTACGATACCTTCTAAGTCTATGTTGTAAAGATCTACTTTATAACTATCATCTATCCTACCACATCTATGGTATAATAGTCAAGACACTTACACTTTATTATTTCACGCCTATAACTCATGTCACTCATCAGGAAATCTACTATAGCTTGTTCATATACACAAGAACAAAACCACTTACTATTGTTATTGCCCTCCACAGTTTAAGGTGAAAATAAAATGTACGTACATGATATGTTTGTTTTTCGTTTTAGGTTTTACTACAAGGACGAGATGGAGCTCAAAGCCATATAGTAGCATTGCGGAAGTTACTAGATGCTATGATAACCCTTGACATGCAAGATGGGATCAAATGGACTATGGTTGCCTCCAAACAGTGGTAAGTATCGAGACAAAGGCACCATAGTGCAATCACGCTTGTAGGGAATGGGACACGTACTCGGGGCATCCTGGCCTCTAAGGTGGTTAAGTTTAATATATGTTATTGACATTAGAATTAAGAAGTAGTTTATACATGTTATTGTTAAAGATCGGTTTGCTCAACATCCGTTTGTCCATTCAATACCAAGCTGGACTGCAACCATGTCACAACAAACGAAATGTAAATGCACCAAAAGGATTAGTAAAAGTGTAGCGATGGCACATTCTTAAATATGGAATGCATATAATTATGCAATATTCCCTTGTGTGGGGGGGGGGNGCTTATTAGTCCCCTTCGGTTCCCGGGGAGGACTTTAGGTTTGCATTCCGTCCGTCCGAAACGTTGGTCCGGATCACATCTTTTTTGGTGTACAAGGACATCTTGGGAATGCGGAATGCAGAGTGCAAAAATTAGATCACTGTGACCTATTACTTGACCTTTGACCTTTACTTTTGTAAATGATTGTCTGGGGCATATCCACTATACTATTTCACTTGGAGTAACCAGTTTTGATGTACAAGGACATCTTGGGCTGGCAGAGTGCAGAATGCAAAATTTAGGTCACTGTGACCTATTACTTGACCTTTGACCTTAACTTTAGAAAAAGTTTGTCTGTGGTATATCTTCTACACTATTTCACCTGGAGTAACCAGATTCGGTGTACAAGGACACCTCGGGAATGCGGAGTGCAAGAAGTATGTATAAGAATACTTTCCTAACACCCTATGAATTGCCTTGTAATAACTTGCCTTGTTATCTGTTGCCCGTTGTTACACTTCAATAGTGACCACGGGAACCTCCTGTAAATGATTATATGGTGTTACGTGATCCTTGTCTGCAACACTCCAGTAATAAGTAAGACCTACTGCGTATAAAGTGTATTGCATCGTTTAACGTCAGAATATCTTTATGCATTATACAATATATATTTTCATGACACATTGTTGCCTTGACAATTTAGATATCAACATTAATTGCTATAACACATTTTTTTAAAGATATATATTGTCTTCTTATATTCCATAATGACGGCAGAACTTGGATGATTTATTATATATTTTCATCAATACATCGTTAACTTTCAGGTTTGATATGAAAACAGAGATGAACACACAATTCAAGGCGGAACTACATGACATTTTGGAGTCATATGGGACCTCAAAGGACATTAAGACATCTTAACACATTACACAACGTAAGGTAAACTCACTTTGAGATACGATGAACCGGATATGACCGCAATTCCAGCTTTTCTTCTGTGATCCACTATAGATATGGTAGAAGGGGTGTAAAGTGACGAACTCGAGGTACCATGCTGAGGCTTGAGAACCCAACAATCGGTGGTATTCGGAACTCCCGTACCACTGCCTAAAAATCGAATCTTTTTGTTGTCAGCAGGGCTATAGCTTTGGTAAATCATTTCTGAAGAGAAAACCATACCTTGTGGGATTTTTATGAGAAACGATAAAGATGAAACAAAATATAATCATCAACATTGTTCAGAGTGAGAGAAAAAAATCAGCGAGGATAGACCGGGGTTCGAACACGATTGTTTTGCTATCGCGCTTACCAATAGTGCTACCTGGTCAACAGAAGTGTCCCGGCTCAACTGTGCTACAGTTATATTCAACCGGAAGTTCAACAGAGGTCACTGTATATACTAAAAACCATCGTGCATTGGGACAGGGATCCTTAAATCTCAAACTCTGCCACACAGAATGCATACCCGCGATAGTTGATCTCTCTTTTGTATGAGAGTCGATACGTGGTTTGTCAATGAAAAATGTGAATTACTTCTTGTGTAACATAAAATGTACATTTATAACAAATTACTCGACAAGTTTTGCTTCCAATACTGCAAATGATACGCCATTAAACACTGATATTTTTATTATACATTTTATATTAGCAATTTAAAACTGTTTGTATAGCATTTTATCTTTATCGAAAGAAAATATTGCCACCTAAAATCAAGTTAATACATTTGTTTGGAAAACCCGTACTTCCAACTGAAAATCGATGATACTAGGACAGATATGAACTGAGGAAGAGTTTGCACAGAGACTGCTTCGTCGACGACATCCGCCATGCAAATACGGGAATAACATTGCGAGGTTATGGAAGTGCAAACGTCTTCTGCTTCATCGACAACGACCGCCATGTAGGTCAATCCAAGATATGGCACGTCCTCAAAGTGGAAAACGTGGTAATGACAACAAAACCACAAGACACACTAATAAGCATAATCGTATTTCCAAAAGGAAACGTAATATTTCTCAATTAGATTATGATGGAGATCATTGACTTGTTAATGGTCTTCATAATATTCGGAGTAAACACGTGAATACCGAATCAATTACGATCATTTGAACACCTAAGATTGGTAAGCAGGGTTGTTACTATCAAGAAAAGGAAAATTCAAGATCTGAAAATCGAAATCGTCACGCATATAGTACAGCTTAGTTGTTAGCCGTCAATGTTGGTCACGTTGTAAGTAAAGATAAAAGTACGCGGATTATGTAAAAGGTATAGAAGGTAGAAGACTGTGATGCATACATTTTAAGCTCAGGGAGGAGGGGGGGGGGGGGGGGGGGGACAAACTGTGTTCTTGGTCCATCAGTTTCCTTCCTTTTTTAAAGCAAACACTTCTTAAAGTGAAGCCTAAGGAGTTGGCAAGGATTTTGTGGCCAGTCCTTATAAAATCTTCAATAAATTAAGCCTCATATGAAACCGAAATAAATCGACCAGAAGACCGCACAGTTTTTCCCATTGGAGTGCAAATAGTCTCCTGGAAAATCTTGCAGACGAATTCAGCAAAGATGATATCATCCAGGAACTCAGTCTCGCGTTTTCATCCTCAGTATATTTCATATTTGACTTGCCGTGTTTTCCAAAATAAATACCATCAACTGTTTACAGCCATGATGTGTGTTTTTGTATGAAGTGGAAAAGTAGAATATTCTGATAGAAGAAACTTTCTTGTGGAAATGATGTTCAAGATTGATCAACACATATTTGTAAATTTTTAAAAACATTCCATTCATTCTACTTATGGAGTACACAGGGTCACAATACGACTCTAACCCTGATACAGTATGCTAAGAAAGGATTTTGTGTAGTACAAACGAGGTACATGGAGGTCGTTAATCTCATCCGTCGTTATCTGGTATTCGTAAAGATTATAGTATAGAAGTATGCTTAGCTGGTATTCGTAAAGATTATAGTACAGAAGTATGCTTAGCTGGTATTCGTCTTTCGAAAAAGAAATGTATATATATAGATATGTCTAGAGTTTACTTTGTGATCTGGCAAGCGTAGTATAATTGTTTTGTTTTGTTTTTCCAGCAGGGAATTTAAGAGTCAAATTCTTAGTTTCTTTGTCTTCTAGCACAGACACTAGGTTATACGTCGGAATCAAGCAAAACAGACTTGTTTTTATGTTTTTACTTTTCATTTTAAGCTGCCTATTCTTTTTCAATGGTGGATATGATAGATTTTATTCACTCTACAAGCGAATCGAATTCGTCATATCGTATTTGGCGTATTGCCTGTTTCAGTATTCAACAGCATCCACAAGTGTCTAGAAATTCACATTCCAATGGATGGTAGGGATGACTCGGAAAATTGAACCATTCGTGAGAGGTTCTTGTAGCTCTACATTATGGTCAACATTTAGATCGCCATTTATCACATGCCCAGCTTGACCGTTGTTGTATGAAGATGTAGAGCAAGAACATACTTAACGAGGAAATGGTAAAGGTCGTCTAGATTCAGCTGTTGTAGCGTTTGCTTGAAGATGAAAAGCTTGGGACCAATGTTTAGCACAACCGTTAGAAATGATCGGGGTATATATAACAGATCGAGTCGAGTAGGATTTTTTAAAAATGAATCGAAGGAGTCGATCTGTTATATATACATGTGTTTCTAATTTTGACACGCATGAATGTGAAATACTCTGTTTACAGATTGGGGTTGGCCAAGTTTTAAAGTGTCGTGTGAGCATTTTGAACATGAAGACGATGAAGATATATGAAGGAAATGTTATTTTGTTTACATATTTGTTATTATTCATTTCTTTTCTATTTTTTATTCTATTTTCCTTTTTTTAAGATTCTTCATTGTTTGATGATTTGTATTATTTTGGGACTTGGTCTACAATGCATTTATGTGATTTGGGTTTCATGTTGATAAAATGCTGGGTACAATAGTTCGTCAGTCACAGTCATGTGATGTGGTTTTGATGATGTACCGTCCTTAAATGATCATAGCTGTTGTTAGGACGTTAAACAATACTAAACCAAACCAAACCAAACCAAATCAAATTGATGGTGTAACCGGCCTGTGTTATTTGAAAGCTCACTCTTAATATAACATAATGTATTCATAAATGACACAGCCTTAATTGTTAGTCTTGCCTATAATTGTGTTGATAATTGTACATTTATCTATGTATGTCTGTGCACTGTTTATGTGTAAAATACATCAGTTTTATTCAATAATGATATTACTGTATTTGAAACGAGATTTAATTGTTTTGAAATGTTACACATAAAACCGACCCTGTTACACTTTATGTACAGTATATTTTCATGCATCAACTTTTAGTTTTTCACTTTATTCGGTTTTTTCAGAGCCAATCAGCATTAGAAAAGAACCATAATGAGATTTAATAAATTGTTTGAACAGAAACGGCTGTGTTTGACTTATCCTTGTGCGACGTTCTGTTAGTAATAATTTCGTGCTCATACATTCTAACCAAATTCATATTTTAAAAGATAGATTCATGTGTACAATACTGATTTAATCATATATTTTTTTTATTAAAATATCATTTACAATATATATGATATTTCATAAAAGATTAAAAATGTCTTGTATACTTATTGAGATGTTCCATAAATAAATATGAGATTTATTTATTTTTTCGTTTTCATTACATAAATATGTAAGATATTTTATTCATTATATGATATATATGAAAATGTTTATTATAAGATATGCGATATACTTTGAGCTATCTCATATATTTTTTTTATGAGATATCTGCTATACTTTATGAGATCTCTTATACATTATATTATCTTCTATATCATATAAGTAAAAATTTATACAGTTATATATATAAGATATTTACAGTAGGTCATATGTATATCAAGTATAATCTTTTATAAAATATATTTTATTTCAGTATAAGAGCTATCTATTCACCGGAGATTTGAGATATTGCAGATGGTGAAGAAGATGTGTCTATGAAACAAAACTGGGAAATGTTATGCTGTCAGACTACTATTTAATGTATAATAATAATAATAATTCGAGGTTTTATATACCGCTTTATCACAACCTAGTTCGTAGGTCGTCTCAAAGCGGGTCACAAATTAGTATCCGTGGTTATAAGGCCTTTGCAATCAGACAACATCTTTCTCAACTCCATAGGGAGCATACAGACGGTGCTGCCATTTTGGCGCTCACAGCTAGGATTCAACAATTCTAGCACTGCCCAACCACGTACTCATTTACAGCTGAGTAGACAGGAACAAACGGAGTAAAGTATCTTGCTCAAAGATACAACACGTCACCATGCCGTGACTCGAACCCACAGCCCTTCGGTCACGAGCCCGGCGTCCTACCACTAGACTATCGTTGCTCCATTAATCATTCTTACTCTGTTTGTAGTTTGAACTAGCAAGGGCACATATGAATTAAGAATTCAGGTTTTGCTCCTGTGTTAGAGGATTTGGAAGAGAATTACAATTTACAAAAGTCCTGGGGATAAAGAATATTTATAAAGATTTTTGTTGGTGTTAATTCGGTTGATTCTGTGGGCTCCTTGTGTTCTCCTATCACTTGAAAAGTTGGATAAATCGATACCAACATGTCCGATTTTGGTAATGTTCTTCTCTGAGCTATTGGCTCCCAGTTAAGCGATCCGATCATGTTGGATACACAACCAGGCTCTCTAGATCTTTGGTCATTAAACACATATCTGGCAGTCCTGCGCTGTGCATTTCCAATAGCCAGGACCTGGTCTGTTGTATAAGTGTTCCAGCATAATCTAGGGTTGGTCTAACTAAGGTTGTATATTTTAGGGTTTTAGCTTTTCGGTTGCAAGATGACAGGTTGCGTCTCAGAAATCCTAGAGTATTGTTGGCTTTGTTAGTAATGGACTGAATGTGTTTATCCAAATTTAGATCTGTGGTGAGGGTGACCCCTAAATATTTGATAGAATCTAAATTGCCCAGTGTTTGATTATGTAGAGAGTTACTATACGTAATGGGTTTTTTTCCTTTTAGAGGTGTTGATAACAGAATATGTTTAGCGTTAAAATCCATCTGCCATTTACCCTCCCAATTCAGTCTAAAGATCATTATCATGTTTGCGACGGTCATGTAAATAATTAATTTCTGTATAGAGTCAGCAATCATCAGCAAACAGATTGATGTTGCAAAAAAAATGATCTGACAGTGTCATTGATGTAGACTAGAAACAGAAGTGGGTCAACGACAGTCCCCTGGGGTACTCCGGAAAGGACGGGGCGCTGTCAGAGCTGGTACAGATAAGTATGACTTTCTGTTGTCTATCAACTTGTTTATTTTGCCCAGAAGCCATGTTGTTAATGAGTAAGGATGATCTGGAGTTCGATGTGAGCCATAACGTTGCTGTGAATAGTATGATCCAATAATTTACATGTGATGCAGTTGAGTGAGGAAGATGGTAAATTTCAGCAGCTTCCTTATCACCTTTATTTTAATACTGGAACAATGTGTGAAACACGCCAGTCGTTGTGGTACAGTGCATGAATCTAAAGATATTTGAACAAGGTTTAATAGTGCCGGTGATATTTCTAGTGCTAGTTGTCTGGGAATATTAGCCGGGATACTCCGCTTGTGATTCTTATAACTCACTAGCCATTCCTTCAATCTAATAACTCATACCCCACTGCTTATCCGTTCTGTAACAGGAAAGAGAATAGTGTGCTTCCACCGGGGATCGAACCCTCGTTCTACCACTGAGCTAAATGGAATTTCCCCTCTAGCTCAAAGCTAGAAGGCGACCTTAATCCTATTAAAACCTGCCACACTACTCCCCCTTTTTAAATGTGTTTGCCCTTGAACACCACAACTCAAGTTCTTACTCCCTGTCACCACAGCCACGGACACCATTTGTAACAGGAAAGAGAATAGTGTGCTTCCACCGGGGTTCCTAGTCGGACGCTCTACCACTATAAGCTAAAGCTAGAAGGCGACCCTAATTCTTTGTACAATTAAAACCTGCCACATTTCTAACTAGTCTTTTTACTCCATTATTGACTCTTTTGTAACAGGAGAAAGAGAAAATGCAGCAGACAGACAGGGGTTCGATCGAACCCGGGACCCTCCCAACTCTAGACGGACGCTCTACCGATTGAGCTACCCGGCGGTATTAAGCATTAAGCTTTATTAAAAGTTATTTATTTCATTTTATTCTTATTTATAAGTCTACAAATAAAAAATCAGTATTTATATGTTTTTAAACACATTACATAGATATAGTCACACGATCATATATTATAGACAAAGAGTCCGTAGCGGTCTGGTAACTTCTACAAAGGATGTAACTGAAAAAAAATCATCCATGGAACTGAAAAAAAAATCATCCATTCTGATGAGGGAAACAACAAATAATAAAGCAAACAAAATGTTATATCAGTGTTTACACAGCAATTTAATCCGGACTGGCCGTGTTCAGCTATGCGAAGTCCTTATATATGTGTACACACATGTGTGATACGCTGTAAATCTTCATACTTTTACATCGTAACATTTTACCTCACGATAACTCGGTCAATTTTTTCAAATATCAAACTTAAATTTGGTATAAAAGTGTGTTACAGTCATTTGAATAACATAGCGTCTGAGGTCGATTACTTTTTTAGATTCATTTTAGAGATATAGTTTGAAGACACTTCACGATCTGTAGATTTCTTTACACATGTGTGCAACGCCGCCGATCGTAAAAATTCACATCGTCATTTCTTTGTCATTTTTTCAAATATCGACTTGAAGTTTGGTACATAGGTGTATCATAGTCATATGAATAACACATCTTCTGATGTCGCTTACTTTATAGGTTAATCTTAGATGTAAAGGCTGAAGACGCTTCACGATCTGCGGAGTTCTATTCACACACGTGTGCCACGCCACCGATCGTATATCTAGCTAAAATTTGGATTTGATTTAAACATATTTTATTGCAAATAACAGATGTTGCAAACGAATTGCACACAAGTTTTGCCAACTTATTGAAGTCCTCTTCGAAAAAAATTAATTGATTACAATACATATCACGCAATGTTAGAGCTACTTAAATATACATATGACAAGAAAGAAATGCAGGGAAGAGAGGGGACAAAGAAGAGATCGAGATATATTTCGGGGGGGGGGGGGGGGGGGGGGGGGGGGGGGGGGGGGGGGGGGGGGGGGGGGGGGGGGGGAATTGGACACAGCTAACTTAAGTTTTGTTGCATAGTATAATTAGTTTTCATCTAGATTGTGAGCCATGTGGGAGTTCATTTTCCAAGTAGACGGAGCTTGTGATAAACTAATCACTTTTCACACACCTTCAACTTGTCTATTGTCCATTACATCCCGTACCTTGGTGGAGTATATATCAATAAAAGTCTTATTAATAACAAATCATCTGATGTCGCTTACTTTAGTAAGAATGTTTAAAGATATTGTCTGGCGACGCTATCTTAACTGTACAGGTTAATACACACACGTGCCACGCCGCACACAGATCGTAAAAATCCAATTCATACTTTCTTAATTACCCAGGACTTATTTCAGCTATTCGAAAACATATACAGAAACAAGATTTACCATGTCCTACCTATCCTTTCATACCAATAATATAGAAATAGTTTTCAGCAGTCTAAAAGGGACAAAAGGTTTTATTATTTACTCAGTAAAAATAATACAATATCCACTGGAAGAAAAAAATGGGATGACGTTTTTAATTTTGACAATGAAACATGGAGGAAAATATTTAAAATGCCTTTTCATATAACCAAAAATTCAAAATTACAGTGGCTTCAATACAGAATCAATCAACACATTTTGACAACAAACTCATTCTTATTGCAACTCATGTAAAACTGATATTGAAACAATAGAACATACCCTATGGGAATGTGATAAGGTGCAAGTTATGTTACAAAATGTTGAGATTTTATTAAATGCTTTAATGATCTCTTTTGCTTACAATAAGGAGACTTTTATCTTTGGACTATTTAATCAATATGGAATAAGAACACCAATAGACAGTACAATTATTTTGAGTATGAAACAATATATTTATTCAGCATGCCTACAAACAAATGTATCTATAAATGGTCGTAAAAAGGCAATCAAGGAAAACCCAAAAATATAATGCAACAGGTAAAGATGACAAATACAGTAATAATTTTAAAAATGATTGGAAAAAATGGCAAAAGTTAAGTAATATCTCCTGAATCTTAGATTTGCTGAACTTTGTTTTAAGAATATTGACATTTGCAGCTGGCAACACATGCTCTTTACTCCCTCCTGTTTTCCTTTACTAGTGTCTTTTTTTGCTTTTTATTAACCTTTCCTTTGCTGCTTTCCTTATACAAATGCAATGTGACATTAGATGTAAACATTTGAAAAATGTAGTAAAATGACAATCAATATTTTTTTTTGTGCGTGAAAGTGGAAGCAAGATTAGTGTGTGTGAGATTTTCAGCTATTACAAATGTACTTTGCATTGTATAACAAATTTCTGAAATACAAAAGAGATTCTGGCATCACTCGTAAAAATGAATAAATTAATTCATCATAACTCGGTCAATTTTTCAAATATCAAATTGAAATTTGGTATAGAGGTGTATAGTCATATTAAAAACATATCTTCTGATATCGCTTACTTTATTCGTTATTTTTATAGATTTTGTCTGGCGACGCTTGTTGTCACTTGAAGACACTAATGTCGGTTGAAGACGCTTTTTAGGAGAACCCACGGAAAGTCCCGAGCGGTTTTCCGAAGAAAATTACCAAAGGAGATCACTCTAGTAATGTAACGTTACAGCGGAGTTGATATTTTGCAGACTTCTGCAGAATGGCAGGTCTAAAGACTGATTACCAACTAGCAGACTGGATGTCACAACTACCAGAGAGTTGCTTACAGACACCGCTAAATCTTCTCGCTATCCCAGGTGTGCTTTTCATCCCCTTTAGCTTCCGCTTTTATATTTTTCCTTGTTTATATCCTAAGCAGGGCGTTGGTAAAATTATTATGATCAGGTTACCTATTCAAAATTGTACTGGCATCCCGTTTAGGAGATCCTAGATTACATATTTTATATTAGACCAACTACAAATTAGGTCCGAAATTATCTGGTTCTCTCCATTAGACTTACTTAGAAAATGAATTAATGTGTTATTTTAGTTGTTATTAATATGGGAGACAATCAATCTGACAGAATGCCTATTTGGTGTAATGAACCAGAACATTTCAGGCGAAGCTAACTTACTGTGGGAGTCAAAATATTTGGCTAGACCTCCAAATGAAGATAAGGTACAGGTTGTAGGGTTGAGGACAAAACAGGAAATCACTGAGTCATGATTTATTGTTCCCAACTGTTTCGGCCCATTCCTGACAATACCTGGGTAATGTCCATGAAAATAGATAACATTATCTGATTACAGCCAATCCCAAGAAACACCTGATAAAACAGCTGTTTACACCTAGTAACATCTGGGAGATTTGTTAGTATCCACAGGAACACATGGACAATACAATGTTGCTGATTACACCTGTCCCTGGTAACATCTGAGATGGTGGCTGGCTAATACTTATCCCTAGAAATAACAGGGATAATTGTTGTTTACTCCTGTCCCTAGTAAAACCTGGAAAGATAGCTAGTTACACTTTCACCTGTCTCTAGTAACACATGGGCTAGTTGCTTGTTAAACTTGTCTCTAGTAACACATGGGGCTACTAAATGCTTGTTAAACTTGTCCCTAGTAACACCTGGGATAATAGCTGGGACACCTGCCCCTAGTTACACCTGGGATAACTCCTGTTTACATTAATCCCTAGTAAAACCTGTGATAATTGCTTGTACACCTATTCCAAGTAAAACCTGGGATAATTGCTTGTAGCATATACCCCTACCAACACCTGGGATAATTGCTTGCAGCATATACCCCTGCCAACGCCTGGATGAATTGCTTGTACAGCTATTCCTTGCAACACCTGGGACAATAGCTGTTTACACCTATCTCTAGTAACACCCTGGATAATATCTATTGTTTGCATTTCAAGAACCATGATAGTCTTTGAGTTGCTCAACTTGACACTTGACCTTGCTTCCATGAAAGACTTACAGAGTCTATACTATCAATCACAATTATCTGTATGCTCAAAATGATTCACCTTACCCCTGTCACAGCGAATCCCTGTTTGCTATGAACTGCTAGTCACCAGTCGCCTATTACCTCAAGTGAAGTCGCAACACATGTTTAAACAGCTTAAATCACTGACCTATCACAGCATGCCATGATGCTACTTTGAACAGTTAAAGTCATTTCCCTCCCTGTATGGCAAGATTTCCCTCCCTGTATGGCAACTTGACACAAAAAAAATAAATATTACAGGATTTTCTTCAAGGCAAATAAAAATGGACTATCACATCCTAATCATTGTGTGTCATGGATATTTACCAAAGCATAAAATCTCAATCAATCATACAGATTCATAGTAGTTATTTAATGTGCCATCTTAGCATGATTAGCAAGTGGATACTTTGAGTTACAAAAAAAAAAATCATTTCTATTTATAAATCACTGTCGATGGATAGAATCTAAATGTCTGAAAATATAATTGTGAATTCTTTAAACATGAAAATGTTTGCAAAATGATGGTAGATGTCAGACCACATTTGTTTTAATATCTCTTATATAATAATAAAGTCTCTTTTCCAATAGTGAAAGTAAAAAAATCTATTCAAACCAGCATCCCCTCGGATGTTATGGGATCAAACATGGGTTGTTGGGTGGTGCAGTGGGTAGCTCGCTCGCCTCTCAGAAGATGGCCAGAGTTTGATTCCTCTATCAGACATTGGGTCACCTGCCATATAAGCAAGTGGTTTTGCCCAGGGCGCTTCAGTTTCCTCCGACATTAAGACCCTGTGGCGCTAACGTCTGGAGTGATTGATATAAGTTGACATGATATGTTTCATAATTGTTGTAAAATAAACAAAGTTTATAGTTTAACAAACATGCACACCATTCAGACACTGATAATGTAGCTTGTTTATCAGAGAAGTCTTCTGTCGTACTGTATGGGTGTTACCCAATACTTCTGTGATTAGCATACTGCAATAGATAGTGATGTGGTATTTCAGAATTTTGCAATGATAAATGTTTAATGTGTCAATGTCGTTGTAAATCTTTTTGTAGCTACAAAATACACCCTATCAGAACTTTTGCCAGGACAGAAGGTAAACTTGCAATGCTATAACATCTCCACTACGTAAGGCAATGTTATTAAAATATGTAATTCATGTGTATCATATTTCTGATGTATCCAGTGTGTCCACTCTACTATCAAACATATCCGACTGTATCAAGATTAGCCAACGGATACGTATGTCTGATATATATGAAATATCAAGTACCCTGTTGTCCCATGTCTTAAGTATGTCTGATATATATATGAGATATCAAGTACCCTGTTGTCCCATGTGTTAAGTATGTCTGATATATATGAGATATCAAGTACCCTGTTGTCCCATGTGTTAAGTATGTCTGATATATATGAGATATCAAGTACCCTGTTGTCCCATGTGTTAAGTATGTCTGATATATATGAGATATCAAGTACCCTGTTGTCCCATGTGTTAAGTATGTCTGATATATATGAGATATCAAGTACCCTGTTGTCCCATGTGTTAAGTATGTCTGATATATATGAGATATCAAGTACCCTGTTGTCCCATGTGTTAAGTATGTCTGATATATATGAGATATCAAGTACCCTGTTGTCCCATGTGTTAAGTATGTCTGATATATATGAGATATCAAGTACCCTGTTGTCCCATGTGTTAAGTATGTCTGATATATATGAGATATCAAGTACCCTGTTGTCCCATGTGATAAGTATGTCTGATATATATGAGATATCAAGTACCCTGTTGTCCCATGTGTTAAGTATGTCTGATATATATGAGATATCAAGTACCCTGTTGTCCCATGTGTTAAGTATGTCTGATATATATGAGATATCAAGTACCCTGTTGTCCCATGTGTTAAGTATGTCTGATATATATGAGATATCAAGTACCCTGTTGTCCCATGTGTTAAGTATGTCTGATATATATGAGATATCAAGTACCCTGTTGTCCCATGTGTTAAGTATGTCTGATATATATGAGATATCAAGTACCCTGTTGTCCCATGTGTTAAGTATGTCTGATATATATGAGATATCAAGTACCCTGTTGTCCCATGTGTTAAGTATGTCTGATATATATGAGATATCAAGTACCCTGTTGTCCCATGTGTTAAGTATGTCTGATATATATGAGATATCAAGTACCCTGTTGTCCCATGTGTTAAGTATGTCTGATATATATGAGATATCAAGTACCCTGTTGTCCCATGTGTTAAGTATGTCTGATATATATGAGATATCAAGTACCCTGTTGTCCCATGTGTTAAGTATGTCTGATATGTATGAGATATCAAGTACCCTGTTGTCCCATGTGTTAAGTATGTCTGATATATATGAGATATCAAGTACCCTGTTGTCCCATGTGTTAAGTATGTCTGATATATATGAGATATCAAGTACCCTGTTGTCCCATGTGTTAAGTATGTCTGATATATATGAGATATCAAGTACCCTGTTGTCCCATGTGTTAAGTATGTCTGATATATATGAGATATCAAGTACCCTGTTGTCCCATGTGTTAAGTATGTCTGATATATATGAGATATCAAGTACCCTGTTGTCCCATGTGTTAAGTATGTCTGATATATATGAGATATCAAGTACCCTGTTGTCCCATGTGTTAAGTATGTCTGATATATATGAGATATCAAGTACCCTGTTGTCCCATGTGTTAAGTATGTCTGATATATATGAGATATCAAGTACCCTGTTGTCCCATGTGTTAAGTATGTCTGATATATATGAGATATCAAGTACCCTGTTGTCCCATGTGTTAAGTATGTCTGATATATATGAGATATCAAGTACCCTGTTGTCCCATGTGTTAAGTATGTCTGATATATATGAGATATCAAGTACCCTGTTGTCCCATGTGTTAAGTATGTCTGATATATATGAGATATCAAGTACCCTGTTGTCCCATGTGTTAAGTATGTCTGATATATATGAGATATCAAGTACCCTGTTGTCCCATGTGTTAAGTATGTCTGATATATATGAGATATCAAGTACCCTGTTGTCCCATGTGTTAAGTATGTCTGATATATATGAGATATCAAGTACCCTGTTGTCCCATGTGTTAAGTATGTCTGATATATATGAGATATCAAGTACCCTGTTGTCCCATGTGATAAGTATGTCTGATATATATGAGATATCAAGTACCCTGTTGTCCCATGTGTTAAGTATGTCTGATATATATGAGATATCAAGTACCCTGTTGTCCCATGTGTTAAGTATGTCTGATATATATGAGATATCAAGTACCCTGTTGTCCCATGTGTTAAGTATGTCTGATATATATGAGATATCAAGTACCCTGTTGTCCCATGTGTTAAGTATGTCTGATATATATGAGATATCAAGTACCCTGTTGTCCCATGTGTTAAGTATGTCTGATATATATGAGATATCAAGTACCCTGTTGTCCCATGTGTTAAGTATGTCTGATATATATGAGATATCAAGTACCCTGTTGTCCCATGTGTTAAGTATGTCTGATATATATGAGATATCAAGTACCCTGTTGTCCCATGTGTTAAGTATGTCTGATATATATGAGATATCAAGTACCCTGTTGTCCCATGTGTTAAGTATGTCTGATATATATGAGATATCAAGTACCCTGTTGTCCCATGTGTTAAGTATGTCTGATATATATGAGATATCAAGTACCCTGTTGTCCCATGTGTTAAGTATGTCTGATATATATGAGATATCAAGTACCCTGTTGTCCCATGTGTTAAGTATGTCTGATATATATGAGATATCAAGTACCCTGTTGTCCCATGTGTTAAGTATGTCTGATATATATGAGATATCAAGTACCCTGTTGTCCCATGTGTTAAGTATGTCTGATATATATGAGATATCAAGTACCCTGTTGTCCCATGTGTTAAGTATGTCTGATATATATGAGATATCAAGTACCCTGTTGTCCCATGTGTTAAGTATGTCTGATATATATGAGATATCAAGTACCCTGTTGTCCCATGTGTTAAGTATGTCTGATATATATGAGATATCAAGTACCCTGTTGTCCCATGTGTTAAGTATGTCTGATATATATGAGATATCAAGTACCCTGTTGTCCCATGTGTTAAGTATGTCTGATATATATGAGATATCAAGTACCCTGTTGTCCCATGTGTTAAGTATGTCTGATATATATGAGATATCAAGTACCCTGTTGTCCCATGTGTTAAGTATGTCTGATATATATGAGATATCAAGTACCCTGTTGTCCCATGTGTTAAGTATGTCTGATATATATGAGATATCAAGTACCCTGTTGTCCCATGTGTTAAGTATGTCTGATATATATGAGATATCAAGTACCCTGTTGTCCCATGTGTTAAGTATGTCTGATATATATGAGATATCAAGTACCCTGTTGTCCCATGTGTTAAGTATGTCTGATATATATGAGATATCAAGTACCCTGTTGTCCCATGTGTTAAGTATGTCTGATATATATGAGATATCAAGTACCCTGTTGTCCCATGTGTTAAGTATGTCTGATATATATGAGATATCAAGTACCCTGTTGTCCCATGTGTTAAGTATGTCTGATATATATGAGATATCAAGTACCCTGTTGTCCCATGTGTTAAGTATGTCTGATATATATGAGATATCAAGTACCCTGTTGTCCCATGTGTTAAGTATGTCTGATATATATGAGATATCAAGTACCCTGTTGTCCCATGTGTTAAGTATGTCTGATATATATGAGATATCAAGTACCCTGTTGTCCCATGTGTTAAGTATGTCTGATATATATGAGATATCAAGTACCCTGTTGTCCCATGTGTTAAGTATGTCTGATATATATGAGATATCAAGTACCCTGTTGTCCCATGTGTTAAGTATGTCTGATATATATGAGATATCAAGTACCCTGTTGTCCCATGTGTTAAGTATGTCTGATATATATGAGATATCAAGTACCCTGTTGTCCCATGTGATAAGTATGTCTGATATATATGAGATATCAAGTACCCTGTTGTCCCATGTGTTAAGTATGTCTGATATATATGAGATATCAAGTACCCTGTTGTCCCATGTGTTAAGTATGTCTGATATATATGAGATATCAAGTACCCTGTTGTCCCATGTGTTAAGTATGTCTGATATATATGAGATATCAAGTACCCTGTTGTCCCATGTGTTAAGTATGTCTGATATATATGAGATATCAAGTACCCTGTTGTCCCATGTGTTAAGTATGTCTGATATATATGAGATATCAAGTACCCTGTTGTCCCATGTGTTAAGTATGTCTGATATATATGAGATATCAAGTACCCTGTTGTCCCATGTGTTAAGTATGTCTGATATATATGAGATATCAAGTACCCTGTTGTCCCATGTGTTAAGTATGTCTGATATATATGAGATATCAAGTACCCTGTTGTCCCATGTGTTAAGTATGTCTGATATATATGAGATATCAAGTACCCTGTTGTCCCATGTGTTAAGTATGTCTGATATATATGAGATATCAAGTACCCTGTTGTCCCATGTGTTAAGTATGTCTGATATATATGAGATATCAAGTACCCTGTTGTCCCATGTGTTAAGTATGTCTGATATATATGAGATATCAAGTACCCTGTTGTCCCATGTGTTAAGTATGTCTGATATATATGAGATATCAAGTACCCTGTTGTCCCATGTGTTAAGTATGTCTGATATATATGAGATATCAAGTACCCTGTTGTCCCATGTGTTAAGTATGTCTGATATATATGAGATATCAAGTACCCTGTTGTCCCATGTGTTAAGTATGTCTGATATATATGAGATATCAAGTACCCTGTTGTCCCATGTGTTAAGTATGTCTGATATATATGAGATATCAAGTACCCTGTTGTCCCATGTGTTAAGTATGTCTGATATATATGAGATATCAAGTACCCTGTTGTCCCATGTGTTAAGTATGTCTGATATATATGAGATATCAAGTACCCTGTTGTCCCATGTGTTAAGTATGTCTGATATATATGAGATATCAAGTACCCTGTTGTCCCATGTGTTAAGTATGTC